TGAGTTCTATGTTTCCCATAAAAAAAAACCAAGAAGAAGGCCTATTTTTCACTTCTCGGTAAGATAGTAATAATAACATTATTTCTCATTTCATTTACAGCCAGTGAGTGCATAAATATGTGAAAACTATGCTGGAAAAATACAAAATAAATATCAATTAAACATATCTGAATATTATTCTAATATGTTGTTTCAAAAATTCACTACACAAAATTTCTTCATGGCAGCGTCCAAACCCACACGCCTTTAAGAGGTAAAGGAGTTTGGGTGATAAACAGAAAGTTAATGTTTTGTCACACCATTTAACAATATTCGCCAGATCTTTCACCCTTTGACTTGTTTTATTTTCCAAACTTTAAAACACCTTTCAGAAAGAAGAAACAAGTCCAAGAAATCATGGGATCTGCCATGTTACAATATACAAAGGGTCATACTCAAAAATGTAATAAAATTATTACTAGAAAATTGAATAAAAATATCAAGAACATGTGATTTAATTTGAATATAGTATATAAGTAAATTCATTAGACTAAATGATTGAAAAGCGTTTTTTTTTTCTTTCCGAGCACCGAGGACATTATTTATTATACAGCCCTCATATATGTAGAAGATTGAATTTTATTTTTACTTGACAAACCATAACAAAACAATACTATAGTAAACTAAAGTTAACTATAGTACCAAAGTTAAAACTTTGGAACATTGATTTACTATGATGAAAACTTTGGAAGTTTGATTTACTATAGTAAAAATTTTAGACTTTGATTAACAATGGTGAAAACTTTGAAACTTTGATTAACTATGATGAAAACTTTGAAACTTTGATTTACTATAGTGAAAACTTTGGGACTTTGATTTAGTAGTATAAAACCCATGGAATTTTGTTTTTGCTTCCTATTCTCTACAACTCTACATTTTATGAAAATTAAAGATTAAAATTCATTATAGTTTCAGAGAACTTTTTAAAACCAGACCCGTCTCCTAAAGGAATTATGTACGATAAATGCATTTTAATGTAAAATTGTCTCTTGCACAGATAAAAGCGATATTTTGTTGAACAGATAAAACGTAAGTCTTATTTATGGAGAAAAAAATTACTGTAAGATAAAATTTGCGTTATTTAGAATGAAAATATATGCTTCATTATCTCAGTCAACATGTTTTATTTTTACTGTAAATGGTAAATATTGCATTTAAATTAATTACATGTACTTTGAATATTTGAATTAAGATTAACAATAAAAACCAGCCTCAACAAACGCAACATCATCCCCTTTTAAAACAATTGAATAATATAAAAAAAGTTAATGAAACTATTAAATTATTAAAGTTATTAAAAAACTTTAGAACTTTGAATAACTATGGAATTAACTTTGGAACTTTGATTTACTATTGCGAAAACTTTAGAACTTTGATTTACTATGTTAAAAACTTTGCAAAATTGGAATTTTCATTTACTATAGTAAACTATAGTTAACAATAGTTTTCTATAGTATTTTTTTGATAGGGAAATGCTATTGATTAACTTTTACGTTTCAAAATGACCACTACTTTGTTTTCATTTTCTTATTGTTGAATTATTTTTAAGAAAAATATTTTGTGAATACAATGAACTCGTAAATTTGCTAAGAATTTATCTACAGCAAACATTTCCAGATTTACAGTATTCCAAATTATGAATGAATAGTTTGCTCCGTGGAAAAGAATTCAAAATGAATTTCAGAAGATAGGAAGTCCTCATTGAATAAGAGAAGAAAAGTGACGTTGCGGAAAAGCAGTTAATGAAACCTACTCCGGAGAACTTCTTAATACACACTGAAAATGCAAGAGGAAGCAGGAATTATGTCAAAAGTGTAGAATCAGGAAAGCTTGAAATTCGGATAGAGCCACGAAGTTCACTATCGCATCATCGCACTATCGAGGTTTGTGATGGTGAACGAAGGTGTAATGAATAGAGATGAGGCGATTGTTCGATAGCGCAATGTTGATGATGCGATGGCGTGACAATGCCATGACGGTGATCCGATGGTATTATAAAGATAGAGCAATGACGCAGTGGTGCGATAGCGATGACACGATAGTACGATAAGGATGGTGCGATGGTCCGATGACGATGGAGCAATATTCATTATTATACTTCTGTTAAAATGTTTCCTATGTAAAGTTCAGAAGGTAAAATAACTATTCTTCATAGTCTGAAAATTTCCCTGCATAGAAAGCTATACCCCGGGGTATAGTTTTTGCTACCCACCCCTCGGAAAATTTTCATGCAATTTTTGACGCCAATTTTAATTTCAAGTGTTAAATCCATAGCCTAATGATGTCATAATGACTTCAGTAGCATTGTGACATCATCAGGATTTCAGCTCATTCTTGCAGTATTATCTAACTCCAAAGAAAATTCAAACCTTAGAAATTATAATAAACATCAGTATGATAAAACAATTATTCAACGGTTGTGAGTGGGATAGCTCTTTTATCAAACCTGCGACAGAGAACTATTCCCCGAGGGCTTTCCCTCGGGGAATAGTTCCCTGTCGCAGGTTTGATAAAAGAGCTATCCCACTCACAACCATTGGATAAGTGTATATTATCGCATTATCGTGCTATGGCACTATCGTCATTGCATTATTGCGTAATGGCATTATCGTCATCGCTTCCTCTTTATTGCACAATTGCTTCATCGTTATCGCGCCACAGCATTATCGCACAGAAGAGTTTTAAGTCGATGCTCGATTGTGCGTTAGTGATCTGCATAATACTATCCGGATTCCATAGTTTTGAGACAACAAAATTATAATGTGCAAAAATTATAAAGTTACAAAAAACTCAAATATAGGGAAAATGATAGATGTTATATAATGTCACCTCTGTCAAATATCCTCGTAATTTAATACAAAATCATCCATTTTTGTATCTTCAATTGCGATAATATAAGCATAAATCTTCTTTTCATTCACGTCAATGGCGTTGATAGCTGCAGATCTGTAGCTATCCGAAAAATGTATATTGATAGACCGGATAGCTACAGTGCCACCCATTGAAAAAACTGTATATTTATTGCGCACAAAAAAGTGCGCTCGGTTCGTGATTCTTACCTCAATTGCAAAAGAGGGAAGATTTTAAAAAGTTTCTCTCTCCTCTATCAAGAACATTCGTAGTTGACATCTGAACGATGCATATTGGACCGAATTATCTTTGAAACCAAAAATGTCAGTATACATTATCGAAATGTTCGATGATTACAATATCAGGGTCAGGAGGACTATTAACAACAATTTTGACGAATGTTTTTTTGTGGAAAGAGTCAAAGAATATGTTAGGAACACACGGTAAGTAATATTTTGAGATTACAGTTTTAGGAACATGGAGAAATAAATCGAAAACCGAGCGCACTTTTTTGTGCGCAATAAATATACAGTTTTTTCAATGGGTGGCACTGTAGCTATCCGGTCTATCAATATATATTTTTCGGATAGCTACAGATCTGCAGCTATGGCGTTGATTGAACGACTATTTTGTGTTGTAACCCTGCCACAACATTGTAATATCAAATATTTACAGTCATCAGTTGTTCCCTTGATTATTAAATAGTTGGCTTTATTTTACACGACAACTTGATGCTTTTATTTGTTACTCCATCGGGTATGCTGTGTTACCTTGGAGTGTCAATTTCATTTTTGCCATTAAATATGAAGAATACGAAGCAGAAAAATGCATGATTTTTACAGGAATGTTCCACAAAGACTATCTACAAATGTGGAAAGGTACATGTAATGTAGATAATTTTATAATCTCGTATTGATAAAGAAAAAAATCACGAAGTCATTTTAACAATTTTTTTAAAATCAATTATTTTAAGGAAAATTCTATCCCAAGAGCAGATTCAAAACATTTCAAAATAAGTTGGCAAATTTTTAACGACATTTATTTTTTCAAATCAAAACACTAATGCATATGAAGAAGTATAAATTACTCTCCATAACGATTTTTGAGTGTTTTTGCGGCAGACACATCAACACATAGCATGATGGGAAAAAGTAATCAGTGGCGGATCCAGAAATCGTGAAAAAAGGGGGAGGGGTTGTGACCAGTTTGTGGTTAGGGTACTGGTCCACAGACACACACAAAAAAACATTGATTTATTAAATTTTGTGTATTTTTGGACACAAAAAGTGCCCCCCCTGCACCCTATTAATTCGCCAATGGGAATGGATAGGGACCTTAATTATTAATGATCTTGATACGTTAAATGCATATGAAAATAAGACACAAAGTTAAAAAAGCAAAAATTATTTAGATTGTCAATATTTGTTATATGTATAATTTATTGTTTAGCGACACAATTAGTGATCGCTGCCTTCATTTTAGGACACAACAGATTGCTGCCTCAGAATGCAGATTCCACCTCTGCCAAATGTCAAACCACCTAGATATAACTATATTCACCTTATACTTTACATTATTCTTGATTTTTGGAAAGAATATATAGCGATGTGTTCTATTATCCTACCACAACCGTTATGAATTTCATCATCAGAATCTAACCAAATGTTAATAAAAATGTTGCTGTCATGAAGTATCATAATTGTATCTTCACTACGCTAATTGGTTTTTGAAACATCTGTTTTTGAAACGATTGCTGCAGGTTACATAAAAGTATTGAATTTTGCTTTCAAATTAAATGTTTACCAAAGTGCGCATATCTGAGAGGGTGGTTTTAATTTAAACCAGTTTTGAATGGTTTCCTTTTCAAGTTTTGAAAAACAAATGAATACTTTATAAATATTTAAATGCGCCAGAATATTTGAAGAGGAACATGAAAACGTGAAAAAGTTAACGGGACAGAAAAGAGGCACAATTAGAGATACTAGTAAAAAGCCTATTTAAACAGTTTTTTTATGTACGCTTAAAACACTTCCCAATATTAAATTTCCACGCAACGATAAAATTACCCGATGAAATTAAATGTTGTGTTATTGCAGAACGTAAAAGGATTTATCTTGCTGTCGTTGCATATTCAGAATACCACACTTACAGTAAATGAAGCACGCATGCTTACAAAAGAATCCCGGGAAAAGAGTTGGATTTTATTAGAGAGTTTATGAAATAAGCCAAAAATGATGGTTCTCTTTTATTATTTGAAATTCGTTTGCATAGTTGGATATGTTAATGCTGTTTGTCAGACCAACAGAATTGAGATAGATGGAAATGGTTATACGGGAATCACAGTTGCAGTGTCCAGTAAACTGGAACCATCTGAAATACAACTACAAAGATTAAAGGTGAGATATTATATTCATGATTATTGCTGTCATTATAACTCAGTGACAAGAGTGCCAAGATCAGATGGTACACAAAGAACGTATTTGTATTCAAACTCGGTGTTCTTTATATTTATTGTGTACAACCAATCATTTTTTGGACTGTTAACATGAGCCCCGAAAACTTTTTCGTGGAGAATGTGAATAGGGTTCAATATAAAACGAAATATTCTGAAACTTGGTAAAACAGTAGGTTAACATATATAAAACTAGCTCTTTTCATTAAAAATCTTTTTTTTTCGAATTACAATATTTCAACAACATACTAAATCTGCTAAGGGGCTCTACACATTCAACTACATGCTGAATTAGGAAGATTGGATCTAATCTATTTATACATTGAGACTCTCTGATTTATTTTTTTTTATACATTTTAAAATCAAATATTAAAATGAATACACGCACCAGGGGTTGTACATAATTAAAAAATAGACGCTACCGAGTAGAGTTTTAAAATTGCTTGCCTTGTCTGAAATACCATCCTCAATGAAACAGTAGTCTATTATTTGCCAAAACAGCTACAGTTTTGTCTGACCTAAAATCACAACCCATAAAGGATTTTAAAGAGAAGCTAGATTGAATTCTGTCCTATTCATTCTTCAAAAGCCACTCTACGTTTTCTTCTTCACATGGTAAGGAGATCCAACATTCTTCCGCATTCAGTTTTCATTCCTTGTATCAACTTTCTTGTCTCGCACTGCATTTTGGAAGGTTTTGAAGGTCACAATATCATTTGCATCAGTTATAATATATTCAGGTCATTTATCAAAATCTTTGCATATCTTTTAAAAGTATATTAAAATTATTTTTTCCGCTTACTGAGTATATCGTCTTAAATGCAAATGTTTAAGGTATAATTCTTCATAATAGCTGATATTTTTGTGATGTTTTTCAGGTATTAATATATCCTTCTAAAAACACTTGGAATTCCAGAAGTTCAAAAATGATCAAACACAAAATGGAAACTATCAAGAATTTTAAAAGCACTTGACAATTCCCATATTTTATAATCGCCAACGAGGCGCAGTCATTCGGATGAAACCATATAAACTGTTGTCCACGTAGGTGCTGACACATAAGAAAAATTCCTCACTGCTCAATCACTATGAGTGCCGAGTATACTCGTGGATCAAAATTTGTAGCCCCCTACCGGCAAGTTGCAACGTCTCCATATGAGTGAAAAAAAAAATCGAAAGGTACGTTAACCTAGAAAACAAACAAAAAATAACTTTTAAGAAATATAATATCAATGGAAATTAACCTAAACCCATTCGAGTTTTGTATTATCATCTGATGAAACGGATGTAACAGATTCTATAGTGTTTTTCATTTCAAGTTCACTGGGATATATCGAGTAGTAATTTGAATTAAAAAATATTGTTAATTGATGAAACGTCGTCGATATATTAGAATACTTTGTCGAAGACCACTGCTAAAAATTCTTCAAATGTAATAAAAATTGAATAAATCATGTTTCACAGTAATAAAAAAAACAGGTCTGCTAATAAAGGAGTACAATTAGTGCTCATGGGAATTCCAACAGATAAGTGAAATACCTAGTATCCAAAGACTACATGGTGTTGGCAATGTAGAACTTCAGCATATTTAAATATCAACCTCAGAGTAACTATTTGTACATGTAGAATCAGAATGATTTTTAACACTCCAGTTTTGTAGTTGACCTATCAGAAGATATGAAAATTTACGCGTTCAATTATTCCTGATACCAGATGAAATTAATCAAGATTTTGAACTATTTTTGTTCTTCAACTATTGAATGTTTTGTTTTTATTTTAGAAATCTACAGAAATTGATTCTGATAACAATTTATGGCCAGGGTGTTGTCTTACAAAAGAACTTACAACTACATGAAGACCAAAACTTTGTTTTGCTTATAACTTTCCAATTTACATTTAATTGCAAATAAAGTTTGATATTATTTTTACGTTAACTTTACAATTTGAAACAGATTTATTAATTTTGTAAAGTTTGGCAATCAGCTGAGGTTTTTGATCTCAGTAGTAAAGTATTTTGTAAAACAGGTCTCTTCTTTTGAATTTGTCATGAATTTGTCATGAGAAAAGATAAAGTAAAGGTAGTTATTTCATTAAAAAAGATTGAAAATATGCAGCAACGTCTTGAATATGGCATTGGTTTCAATGATTTTAAAAGCATAATTGACTTAAATGAGCATTAAAAATAAATTAAACCTCTGTAAATGGATAAAATCTTCCCATCACTACATTTTCTTTCATTATACAAGGGATGTTTGCGACAGACACTAAATTTTGGTAAATATTCTTTTTCTACATACCCTCACAACGAGTTTGGAGGGGATATTCATGTAGTAACGCGATCGTGTTTGTTCGTAGATGGGTGAGTTAGCGCTGTACAAAACGGAAGTGAAGTAATTTGCTTCGGTATCGATTTCGAATACTGTTTGATTTATATAAAAAATAAATCAAAATAAACTATTTTACGCATGTTATAGGTGTAAATACTTTGAATATACAAGCTGCATGATCCAGTCTGACGTAAAGCTGATATAAGATTAACGTAAAAAATGGGAATTTTGAATTTATTTTCACATATTTTCACATGTTATTGTACACATTCTTACGTTTTCATTATCATGACACACTGCAAAATTTATGTATATATATGACTATAACTGATTTAATGTCAAACTAAATAAAATGGAGATAATTTACAAGCGTCATCAATATAAAAAATTCATATACACAATCTGCACAGCCCAGTCCGATGTTGCGCTAGATTTATGACAACGTCGTGAATATGGATATCATGATTTTTATTACATAACAGTGAATATATACTTCTTTTAGTGTTTTCAAAATTATACACACCGTTGAAAAATTGTGTGAATATATAAATACGATATATTCAACCTTACTAAAACACAATCTTATGTTTAAACGTTGTTCCGTTAAGAGGGGATGTTGCTTTTTCTGTCAATCTTTAAACGTACTTCGTGCGGTGTTTACTTATATTTTCAGTGGATGTATAGAAAACGAGTTTCAAACAATATAAAAAAAATGTTCTGAAATAAATTATCATAGCATATATTTTTGATATACAATAAGTATATCTAGAACTATTCATTATGGCAAAGACATTATTAACCATGAACTTTATGACAACCCTAATACATGTACGACTAGCAGTAAAGCATTCTCATAAAGTACTGTTTACATTAAATTGAATTTGTTACATTTGTACAACAATAAATGATGCATTTTTATTTGTTCTAGGACCTGTTTACAGCCGCTTCTGCTCGACTTTATAAGGCAACAAAACATCATGTATTCTTTAAAGATATCACAATAGTAATACCAAAGTCTTGGCCGAGCAATATAACTGATAGTTATATAACCGGACCCCAGCTTGACTCTGCCCATGTGATTGTTGACAAAGCTAACCCACTCGCAAATAATAAGCCCTATGTCTCTGGCATGACCGGATGTGGAAAACCTGGGAGACACATACATTTAGAACCATATACGGTACAAACTCTTAACGCTGTTGGAGATGCAGGTATATGAAAATTGTAAAGCGTATAAAATATATGTATCTTCATGCAACATAAAACTTGAATTTATTTGCTGTTCTTTCGTAAGATATGACATTAACGCTCAGACTTTGATGGGTGTAACGGTTTGTTGTAATTAATAACCCTTTCATATTATAGACAGATTATTTGTTCACCACTGGGGCCATTTTAGATGGGGTTTATTCGACGAACATGGTGATACCGAGTCTCCTGTCCAAGAGTCGAATAGAAATACGTGGTTTTATTCATCTGGAGGAACCTTCAAACCAAATATGTAGAAACATACTTCTAATAAACACTAAATGGTTTTGTACATAAATTACTTAATTAACATTCGTAATTATGCTTACGATTTATGTTTTTCTTTCATGTACATCATTTTATTTCATGTGCCTATTCCCCCGCTTCAAAAGCGGAGGATGCGTGGTGATGGTTGTGTCCGTCTGTTTGTCCGAATATAAGTCTGCCTATCCATTACGCTTTATTATGATACCCATATTTATCCGCTATCCCCCTTTAAAACCACTGGATAAAATGTAATGAGACTTTCACAGACTCTCTTGTACATTGTCATTTTGCACCCCTACATTGTATATAACTTTTTTATAGGAAATACATTTGGGGTTTCCAATGACAAAACATATACACTACCGTTCTTTCTGTGATATTGGGGGTACATATCTATTTTCTGCAACTCCTCCTATATCGCAAATAAAAAATGATAGTCTCATATAATCTTTATTACACAATGCCATTGTCCTCTTTCTATTTTACTTTTTGATCGGATACATATTTCGGATTTCCCAAAGCAAAACTGATATAGGAATTGATGGGGGATGGGTAATAATTTTTTGAGCTCAGTGCTATCTTTAGAATGATGTTGGTTTCCTGTGTTTTGATATTTTCCTCCATGATTTACAATGAAAAATGATTTTATGTCTTAAGTACTTAAATTACCTTTACAGCTGCGTTAAGAATACAAAAGGGAAAATTGAATTGAATTATTGTGGGAGTAATATGAAGTGCTCAGTGGATGAAAATGGTCTACCTGAAAAGAACTGTAAATTCTGTGGAGACGAGACTGGAAACACCGTTAATGGGTCAATAATGGGGACTGTAGAAATATCCAGTGTAAGTATTTACAATTGAAACAAAAGAACAACGATGCAAAATATCTCTCTTTACTACATTTCTTCTCGCTCAGACTAGTTATTGAATATATATAAAACATATGTAGCTTATTTGAAAGAAAGAGGTTTTGAACAAAACTAAAGAAAGCTTTAATTTCAAATAAAATCTTTCGTACTGTCACAAGATTGACAGATAAACGTTAAATTTGTTAAAAAAGATACCCGACCTTATGTTAGTTTTGCATATGACAAGAAGAATAAGAAAGACTGTGATAAGCATTTTGTATAATTCGGATCAGAGATTAATGATTTTTCAGTTCTATATCTTTGTAATCATGAGGTACTGACGTCCTATTCTAAAAAAATGAAAAATCTCTAGGAAATATTTCACAAAGAAACGGTTTTGTTACTTTTAAACCAATAATTACAGATTCATTGGAATATTTTTAAAGGTGGAAGAGTTTTGTGATGAAGAAAATAGCAATGTTCCACACAACAAAGAAGCTGAAACACCACAGAACAAAATATGTCAAGGAAAAAGTGCCTGGGAAATAATGAGACTTCATTCTGATTTTAAAGGTTTCCTCTTCTTTACATATTTACAATATTGCTTATCATAAGAAAATGAAAGAATAGAAGCTTTTTTCTATTTTAGAATATTTTCAAATTACTAAGATAACAAAGTGCACTTTTCTACTTAGAAACGTCAACTGGCTAACCTCTTTTTCCTCTTTTAAAATTGGACAAAAAGGTTAACAATATCAGATAACGCGTTTGTTAGCAACTGACGATGTTCTAAAATGTTGTTTAGTTTTATGAACATTAAATTTGTAGTCTGGAAGTTTGATAATTGACAACAATACATTTCTTTTCAAAGAGCTGATAACGTAACAAACAATTCATATTAATATATAATATGTTTTCATGTTTCTTGGTAATACCGATATATATGCAAAATTAATTTTATTTTATAACATTTCTGAAATAAAACTTAAGTTATAGCGAAAATATTAAATTTGAAATCATCTAACTATTCTGCGTTTAATTGTTTAAAAAAATGTAATAGGACACATTTGGGAAGATATGACTAATTTTGTTTGTGTTCGTAGATACAACGCCAGGCTCTTCATCGCAAAACACAACACCAACATTTCGAATTGTTAAACAGAGGGCGGGTCAAAACTTTGTCTTGGTCTTAGACAAGTCCGGAAGTATGGCTGGTGCTGTAAGTTAAAATTCAGTCCATTTTTTAAACTTTCTTGCACCGAAAATGTTTTGAATTGTTTTGGAGCCAATACAAAAATGCTGTTAATGTAAGATGTTAAAGAGAAGTGAAAACATTTAAATTTGCAGAAAATAAAGGAGTTAAAAGAGATATCATCTATTTTTATCACAAACTGGGTATCGAATGGTAGCTCTGTAGGAGTTGTGACGTTTGATACTTCTGCACAAATTGTCTCCTCACTCAAGCTTGTGACGTCAGATGAGGTGCGTAAAAGATTGGTGACTTTGATAAACAACATTGGGGCAGCTGGAGGAACATCAATTGGAGAAGGCTTACTTAAAGGGATAGAGGTATAAAATTCATAAATCCTGATGAGGAGTTCAATTTTAAGGACAGATCTGATATAAAACATAAAAAAATGGAATGCCTGAATCGGTATATATTTTTTGACCTAATTTCATTGCAAATGATGCATATATTAAATTTCTAGAATAACAAGAAATTGTAAACCATCTGTGACGTTCAAATTTCTACCCTTCTGAAACCATCCATATTATTCTATACAAATACTTTTCACTGCAAATTCCATTCTGGTGCAACTGTGAATAAAAATGAAAACTGTGCTGTGAAGTTTATTCATTTTATTTATTAAAACGTGACCAAAGTTTGTTTTTTTTTCAAAAGTTTTGACAAGAGTTTGTTTGTGTGATTTGTCCTCCATTGTTTTTAACTGTATGCTTTAATGAAATTAGACTGTGATTTTTTTGCTCAGAATTACAAATTAATCTTCATCATATAATAAATCCATTTTTGAAGATGAGTTCAATGCACTTACATATAAATGCATATAGATCTGATATGCATGAGTTAACTTATACTAGCTTTTTTGTTCAACTTTAGGTTCTTAAAACACATAGTGATGATATCAGAGGAAGCGAGATAATTCTAGTGTCAGATGGTCAAAATAATGCTGGTACACTAGGAATCGATGATGTAATAAATCAAATCTTAGCCGAAAAAGTTATTGTTACGACCGTTGCCATTAGTCAAGCGGCAGATAAAGATATGGAAAACCTTGCAAGGCAGAGCGGAGGCTCAAGCCATTTTTATTCTGGAAAGGATAATTCTACCGCTCTTATTGATAGTTTTGCCAAAATTGCCGAATGTGCCTCTGATGACGATAACAAAATGCAACAGGTAAGTAGGACAATGCCTTTTTTTCTTGGAACCCGCATAAGTGAGGGATCTGACTGACTTCAAGAGTACATGTGTCTATCTATCTGTCCTTCCGCACATATTTGAGATGTAATAACTTGAGTATCTTCAAACTTGCAGGCATTATATATGCATGAGATAAAGAGGCTGAAATCGAGAAAAGAGTAGTTTTTTTGGTTTAATTGCCCAATAGTCAAAATATTTTTCATTATCATGCAACAAATGTTTGATCTGGTAATGTTGAATTTTTATCGTACAGATTGTCTACATGTAGATACATATGCATTTATAGGTCAAAGATGGTATAATAGGAAATCATGATTGAAAATACAAAGTCAAAAGTTATTGCCTTGGTTATTTTGGCACCTTACAAATTTTAAATGCAGTAAATAGGTAGAGTATTGTAAAAGAAAAAAAAAACTTTAAGGATTTATTTTGTTAAGGTAAAGGAGAACAATCTAGACAAACTATATTACTAAATGTGATCAAACAGCGTGAGCAATCTACAACATATGGACTCATTTATTATGATTGATTGATTAAGTGTATATTGTTTAACAATCCCTCTTTTTTTCACTGATATGTAAGACGTCACATATTGAAGATAAATTTACGTTTTCGTCACTAATGTTGCCATTGAAAATGATGCATATTTTAGTTAAAAACTTTTCGTCAAATACGTTTTTAAGGTTATATCCAAAATACAATTGAAATTCCTATACTATCCTAGCGTTAAATTGTTTTAAAATGGAAAAGTCACTACTTGTTTAGGCAAAAATGTTTTTTTTTAGTTTTTGTCCATCAAATTGTTTGCACATTGTTTGTCTTTTTTTGCTTAAAATCTCAGGCTCATTTCCGGCAAAATGCGTCAACATTTCAAACCTTGTAATGAAAGTGAAAGTAGGGGAATTTCAGACTTCAGCTTTACCAAGCTATTTTGGTAGGACAAGTCCGGAAGTATTAACCAGTGTGAGTACGCAGTTTAATACATCTTTCAAATTTTCTTGCACTGAAAATGGTTTGAATTGTTTGAGAGACAATCCAAATATGCTGTAATAAATTAATAATAGATTTCATAGAGAAGTGGAAACCTTTCAATTTGCAGTAATTAAAGCCATTAAAAGTAACCACTTAAACTTTTCACGAACTTTGATGAAACTTACCCATGCTTAGTACTTGACACCAGAAACAAATATCAAACAAAATTTCGTTGCTATGTGTCGTCGGATGCTATGGCAAAAGTTTGGAAAAGTTTGAAAAACAGCATTTTCAGCCACTTTAAATCTTGACTGTGGCTTAATAAAAGGGAAAAAGCAAACAAACCATTCTCACAAAAACATGACACCTTGATGTCACTTAATTTAAAGAAACTGTTTAGAATATATCTCTAAAAGGTGGTAACCAAGGGTATACATTTGGAATACATTTGAAATGCAAATATGCATTGAAAAAATTTTCACTAATGGTAGGTGTTAAATGCTAAACCATTGTGACGTTAAGAAAAACAATGAAAATGTTTGAAACCTTAAGTATATAAGTATAAGCAATATTATTCTATAAATAACTTTTATTTGCCATGGTAACATGTGAATAACCATGCAAAACCAATAACTAAGTTTATTAATGTTTATTCATTGAGGAAAAACATGAAGGCTCTCTGTGTTATAAAAAGTTTTGACCAAAATGAAATATCATATTTTGTGTGTATATGTTTCAAGGTTTTTTTTGTATGCTTTAATGAAATTATCAGACTGTGATTGCTTTTTATTTTTACAAATTATGACTTCATAAAATAATAATATTCCATTTTTGAATACTTTGTTCAATGCACTAACATATATATGCATATTGATTTATAAACATGTTTATCATGCATTTAGCTTTTTGACCTTCAACTTTTCTTAAACAGTATTGCCAATTGTATTGATTTGAAGCAAATGTTAACTAGTGTCACATGGTCAAAAAATGCTTTTACACTTTAGGACATGTTGCCATGTAATAAATCAAATCTTAGCCAAAAATTTTTGTTGATTTCAGTTGCCATTAGTCAATGACTTTTAGATAAGAGATATGGAAAACCTTGCAAAGCAGAGCGGAGGCTCCTATATAAAATTTCAAAGTCATTACAGACTTATTGATAGTTTTGCTAAAATTGCGGAATGTTCTCTGTGTTACCCATTAATGAAAAATGAACATGATTCATAAATAAGCATACGCTTAGTGTTTCTATATCTATCAGCACCTGGCCCAAATGGCGCATTGGTAAGAGCGGAGTAAGGATTTGTCCTTCGATACATTTGTGGGTTTGTAATCCAACTTGGGGTATATCTTAACTTGCAGGCATTATATTTACAATTACTGCAGAGTTTGAAATCGAGAAAAAAGTAGTGTTTTTGGATCAATTGGCTAATGGTTAAAATATTTATCAGTATCATGTCAAGTATGCGTCTCCATATTAGTGAAAATTCTCGAGAGGGACGTTTGACAAGGTCAAATCAAAAGGTATATCAGCACTTAGTTATATATAAACCTTTATTCTGTGATTTCCGATAGCCCCCCAAACACTTTGCTTATAAATATTTAATTATGTACCTTAAATAGGGCGGATTCCATGGAATTTGGGTGGAATTCAACGCAATGAATATTTTCATAAGTAATGACGTCATATATACGAAATGACATCACAAACATGACGTGAATTTCAGTTTTTTTATGAATTTTACATTAAAATGTACATATTTCGTCAATATTTTGAGTAAAAATCACCGAGCGCATGTGTGTTCAGGTTCAATATTTTTAAATAATGTGTAGAATGATAATATCAATTATGTCATTTGTTCCTGGTTAAGTTTGCTTGATCATTAATTTCAAAGCTAAAATTGTTGAAACAGGAAATGCAGATATATCAATGTTAAGGCTTTTACACTTCTTCTGAAAAAGGATGACATCACTATTGCTGGTAAAAAGTTATGAATTAACTACTTTGAAAAATTATTATGCCACTGTACAATTATATTTTATACAATTTATTGAATTCAGCACATTTAAAATTTCAAAATTTGACTTTTTGCACACATATCTGCAATATCAATAATAGTTCTGATTAATGCAGTGAATAGGTAGATAACTGTAAAACTGAAAAATATTTAAATGAAGACATGTATTGGGTAACTAAAATGTTACATATAAATTATTGAAATGATAAAAAATTATTGTAAAAAGTTTGTTGAATTCTAAATACACACACAATCATGGTGGTGTTTTAGTGTCCCTTACACAAAATGTATAAGTTATATATATCTTTACTATGTTAATGACTTGTCATTATGTTTTCTTACAGTTCAAAAAGCTAATTTTTATTAACATGTAAATCATAATCGAGTGTTTTTATTTGTTAACATGGTAAATATATAGGTTTTTAGGTCACATAGTATTATATAATAAAAAGAATTCCAAATATTCGTGAAGCTTAAAACTGATACTGTAATATTTTGATTACTAGTTTAATTACATGTCATTTATTTTTTCTGTGTTATTTCATTAATTAAATTCCTGCCACTTTCCTCTTGGTTTCCGCTTGGGTTACGCCCGGAACCTGTGTATCACCATACATGTAGAGAGAAAAGCACTGGAGTATATAAACCTTCTCCAATGCCTAGTTTGCTATATTCCGGGCAGAACATTTCGAACAGGTATATATACCTTGCATTGAGTCTCTGTTTAAGTTTTATTTCAATGAACGTTAATGCATTGACCAGTGCATCTTTGATAACTATTTTTCTTGACCTGCCAGAGGCAAAAGAAATACTTTTTTTGAAGCGTCCAAGTCTATAATTATGGGAATAAAAGAAATCATGTTTGTTGTTCAAGCGCAAAACCCTTAATTATTAAGAAAGTTGAGGCTTTCATAACAACTTGAGAATGATTGTCATGAGTAGGCTAATATGGCGGAGTCGGACACAGTTAACTCTTTTCCTTTTACGAATCGTGTTCAGCTCTAAGAAGAATACATGTACAATGTAAGTGTTGAATTGGATATTTTCTCCTCCAGATAGAAAGTAAAAGTGTAAGTGTGACAAAAGGTCAGAACTACACCACCGTTGTATATGTTGACTCCACATTAGGACTCGATACAGTTTTATTGCTGCAAGGCCCTGGTGTGAGCGATATCTCAGCTTTCATCATAGGACCCGGAAATCAGACTTGGAAGACTGATTCATGCACAGATTCATGTCGCATAAAGATAAGTGGATTAGCAGAGGTATGAACATGTATAATAATTTTACTCATAGGACTTCATTCTGATTTTTACAATTGTTTTTAAAACTTTTATCAGAACGCAGAAGAGCTTTAGCATTGAAAAGCCAGTTTATATTCCCTTTGTGCATCTGTCTTTTGGTTTATCAATATTTTTATCTAAAAATATCACTTTTTATACAGCATTGATCTTATTTTAATGTTATATGGAGATCACACCATTACACAGAGGCGTTTGTATATTGGTTTTTGATTTTAAAAAAAAGGCATAGCAATTTAAACTTGTATTGTAATTTTGTTAAAAACTAAACCAACCTTGACATTGGCTTTTGCAAACTTAATTTGTTAAAAAAATTCTGACTGTAAACACAAGAACTTTGAATTAGATTTTAAATGTATGCTTGATTTTTTGGTTGACAATATCTATATGGTTTTTGGATATCACTTCTTCCAACAATCATTTAAAATTTCATTAGGTAGAAATTACTACGGTACTTGTTATTAGCAGACCTATTCTTCTTATTCAAATGAAGCATAATTTATTCAAAAACAAATACACAAGCAGAAGAGGCAGATACTTACTCTGGCCTTCAACTCAACATTAAGATATACTCTAACAAAAATAATATCGTTAAATATACTTTACTATAGTAAATCAATGTGCCAAAGTTATCACTATAGTAAATCAAAGTTTTCCAAGTTATCACTATAGTAAATCAAGGTTTTCATAGTGATTAATACATTGTATAGAAAAGTTTTTCAAGTGATCACTATAGTAAATCAAAGTGTTTACCAGAACATATCAAAGTTTTCATAGTTATCACTTTAGTTAATTAAAATGTTAAAGTTAACACTATAATAAGTCAAAGTTATCTGTATAGTAAATCAAAGTTTTCATAGTGTCAAAGTTTTCATTAAGTTAAGCATAGTTAACTATTAAGAATAATAAATAATAGTTAACTATAATGTTTTTGTTGGGGTATCAACGACGCATTATCAATAAACAATGCTTACTTTCATTCATATTTCTAATCGACATACTCGTGAGATTCAAATTGAAGATATCACAGAGTCTGACACATCTGTTCAATATTTGTTTATATTACTCGAAAAAGATTTTATTAATGGTTACCTAACGTGATGACTTCTTCTTTTCTTTTGTTAACTTCTCTTATCTGATATGTAGAAATATATCGTTCAAAAGGTGTCTCCCAAATGATCCAATAAGCAACATGCTCTTTGAATATTTTAAAAACCTAGACATGATATTGACAAATAAGTTGATGAAAGCAAAGAATGTCAACAGTTTCGTTCAAAGTCATCATTTTGCAAGTTTTATGGTCGATACAATTACCTTGTTAGAAAATACAACATACGTACATGTATCATTATGTAGAATGCTGACTGATGTATTCCATATTATTTGTTAAACCATTATTTACACACTGAATTGTCAATAGATTTTTTTCCGTTTTTTTTCCTGATTATGATAAAGAGCATAAGGCGGGTTTGACCTGGTCGGCAGGGAGTGCTCACTCCTCCATGGTACCTGATCCCGCCTCTGATATTTTGGGGGTCTGTGTTTGCTCATTTCAATATCATCTCAATATGAACAAACATAAGTTGATTATATTATCTTCACATCTGATGTCTATATTCTGGAATGAAGTATTTTTAAACGCGTCATTTTTTCACATTCAAGGTTGGAACTTACAACGTGCAGATTTCATCTATCGCCGATAAAGACACAACTTTAACCTTGACAGTGCATTCATATCCCAAAGATCCTTCTGAGGACGTATTTACTGCTACTGCGTGGATATCTACGGATTCATTTGATTTCTCGCCCTCTACTCCTCTTGTCATCTATGCATTAGTTATGAAAGGATCGTCACCAGTCCTAGATGCTTATGTTTCAATGAAAATCGAAGATTCTAAAGGATATGTGTTAACAATTGTTCTGACAGATAATGGTCTAGGTAAATGAATTTAAATACGGTAGATTCCTTATTTTTTTGCGGGTACTTATTATCGCAAAATGGCTCTCTAAAGACAAATTTATTTATTCGCGAGAATCTGTTTGCAAATGGACCGTTGATCAAGAGAAATTCCATGAATTTCGGCACTATAAAAATAAAAGCGAGTATTATATTTTGCATTTTGCGAGTGATGCTTCTCGCTAAATGACACAATGATAAATTCCTCGCGTTCAATTTGGAATTTACAATAAACAAAATTCCACATTGACCTATTACAAAAAAAAAAAAAAAAATAGTTTTGAAACTTTTTTTATGATTTTCTCCTTCTTTTTCTTCAAACCCCAATAAGGAATTCAATAACATATACTGAAAGGAAAAAGAAATGCAGGGTAGCATAATATTTGAAAAATTTTTGACCGCAAATCCGAAAATTACGAAAATTGGTCATATGAGAAATTTAGATACTACGCACCAAAATCAGTGTTCAGAATTACCCAACCGTAACATGTATGACGTCACGCAGGGAAAACGCTAAAAAGACGAAAACACGTGCAATTTGATGACGACGAGTTTGTCAACAAATTTTGTTGCACCATTTGACGCACCTGAGGTATACACATCTTTTTTCAATATTTAGAGACGATATGAATTTCTTGCAATCTTGGTACAATTTACGGAAGTTCCATGGAGTCCGGTTTTATTGCATAATTAATGAAAAAGGCAACAGTGGGTAACTAAGCAATTTGTTGTAAATATTCCCCCATAAAACCTGTTACCCGTTGTCAGAAAGGGCCTGAAATGGTTTTTAATCAACCATTTAGTGAGGATGACGTTAACGCAAAACAGAGTCATATTACGAGAAGGTTATTCGTCCTGCCATCTCTTAAATCGCCACCTAAATTACTACCACAAAAACCACCTTTTATACAGAAGACTGTTATAATCATTGCATACAGCTTACACACGAAAAATGAAAAAAAAAAAAACAATTCCGCAATTTGATTTTTTGAGCCGGTGTATTTACTGTTGTTTTTCTGACACTGGCGCATGCGCGCGTCGTATTACTAATTTCTTGGCGTGGTTACCCATGCCCAATATAGCCAGGGTTTGAAATTAAACACTCGGATGAATTCCTTGCAAGGGAGAAATAAGGCTCTGACAGATGCGCGGGAGACACATTGAAGATAATGAGAGTTTTCGATTTACACTTACCCTCTTACATTTACACTCGATTTATACTTTTGGGGGGTATCGTCATATGAGCTTCAACAATTAATGAATTATTAGACAAAATCAAATGGAATTTTGGTTTTATCTTTTTAAAAGTTAGACAGGAATACTGAGAAAAATTAAGAGCAAAAATTAATTTAATTCACCGCAAAAGTTTACCCTGTTTTTCTTTTTCCTTTCAGTATATTTCAAAAGAAAAGAAACTGAATTTATTCAACTCAAAATATTCAGGTAGCATAATGGCTACCGATGAAAGTTATATAAATTGCATTAGAATTTACCTCCAATTGTCTTTAAGCGATTTTTTAAATAGCTTAAGCATAATTTCATGCATAAATTGCAAGTATGACCCATCTCAATCTCGTGCTTATCGATATTAGATTCATTCAATATCAGTATTCCAATATAACACTAATATTAAAAAAAAACAAAGTAATTGCAGGTTAGGCATATTTCACATTGTGGCAATAACAATATTATCAACTTAATAGTTATAGGAATGACCATGACTTATGATCAGAAGGTCTATATTGTATTAAACAAGTGCGAAGCAAGTGATCTTAAGATGTGAACAGGCAGTTTATTTAACTCCAGCTTTAGCTTTATTTCTCTTCTTAAATTGTTGTACTTTTTATAATCTTTTGAATGTATGTTGATTCGTAAGAGTATAGAAAGAAGCATTGTTAACGTTATACCAGTAAAGGAAATTTCAATGTTTTCGCCTATTATTAGCCTAAATTTTCACATATTTGTCTTTCTTCATGCTGTATACAGGGTTTTTTTTTTTGCCCCGTGTCAGTTTTGCCCTTGCTTACAAATTTGCGTTGTTTTAAATTCGAACAGTCCAAGTTCTGTTTAAGAATTTATACTGTGTTCTTATTTTATATTCGCACACTTGTGACAAGGACGAAAAGTGCGAAAATAAAACGGGGGCGAAAATTTTCCTTTATATGCAAGTAAATTTCTCTTATGAAATTTAATTTATGTCAATATTTGCAGAATTACATTCTTACCTTTAGGTGAAGATGTAATTAAAGGAGATGGACTCTACACAGGAGTGATGTTACCTTCTCAAATTAAAGAAGGGGGCAGACACAGCCTCAAGCTCTTCGTTACAGGAAAAAGTGGCGAAACAAAAATCCTTGTACCAAAAGTGAAAAGACGAAAAAGAGAAACAAAGACTGAAGACAGTAAGCATAATTCTCATTATGTTCTCTACCTCTTATATTTAAATATTTTGTTCTAGTATCCTTTAAGGAGCTGCGATTTTCAGTAAATCATTAAAGTTTGATAAGCGGTTGTCCATGTAGGTAAAATCACCTATCAGGTTGTTTTCAAAATAATAAATCAGACATTTCAGGAATTAACAACAAAATTAATATCAATTTGACGTTTACCCTTTTAGCAGCCACAAATTTGGAAACGCGTACAGTAGATGGATTTCAGCGAGTTGCATCCAGTGGCTCATTCACAGTATATAATTATAGCCAAGTGAATATTACTAACGATATCATATCCCCAGCGCGCATAACGACACTCCAAGTGGTCAACAGAAAAGGCAATTCTTTTAATGTAAGCTGGAATGCTGTCGGAGATGACGTCACATATGGCAAAGGTATGAATTTTTTTTTTATTAATGGCTTACAAGTGAATTATTTCTTTTTGTTTGTGTAAAATGTGTGACATTATATATATTCGCAGTAGAAAAAAAAATAAATGACCTCTAAAACATTGAGTCAATATGTCCCTCTATATTTTTTTTTCTTTTTTCTTTAATAGCTTTGCTCTATAACATTTTATTATCAAAGAACCTTTCAACTTTACGGGACTCTCCAGAAACGATTGAACCATTAACCGGAAACGCACCCACACCTTCTAATCCAGAAAGCTTGGAAATATTCTCTTTTGAGTTACCGGAAGTTAGTACGAACTACTATTTAGCAGTCCGTGCTGTTGATGAAGCGGGAAATAAAGGCGATGTTTCGAACATCCTGTCTTTATCTGTGATCACTGACAGCACTTGGAAGCGCGAAAAAATACAATCGCCATCTTCATCCAATGAGGCTTTGATAATTGGTATTTGCGTGGCAGCTTTAGCTTTGATAGTCCTGCTTGTGTTTGGATGTGTTATTTATAATAGAAGGAAGGTGCTTGGAAAAGGCGCAGTGGTCTAGTCCTCTGGAAAATGTACATGTGTGTATATATATATATATATATATATATATATATATATATATATATATATATATATATATATATATATATATATATATATATATATATATATATATATATATATATATATAGTTTAATTTTTACAGTGTATGAAGATTGCCTAAAGTCTTTCAGAAACGGTAATTTTGTATATTATTGGCCTCTTCTTTAAAATACTTTCAGATTTGATACAAATACAGATGTCGGGACTACTTTTCATGTGGTTTCAAATTGAATTCCAAGAAAATACTTCAGTTTCTACATAGTTCTCTTAGAGTCCTAAAGTACGGGGAAAAGAAAGTTGAAAGTGATAATGCCGTCATAATGGATCTAACACCAAAAAATTAGTCTAAAGACATTTACTAGATCTTGACGTGAAAATTAAGGTCAATCAGCCGAAGGCTCATGTGAGCTTTTCTGATCGAAAGGTGATCTATAGGCCTTTGTCGTGTGTTTTCGCTATTTTTTTATTTACATTTTTGACTTCTTCTCAAAACACATTGGTTAAATTCCATCAAACTTACCATTAAGTTTCTTGGGAGAATGAGATTTAAGTTTGTCCAAATGTACTTAAATATCTAACCCCAGGATCATGAAAGAAACAAAGACTTGAGTTGAATTTTGTTTCGCCTTTAAAATGTTTATTAATTACGCAATTAATCCCTTTCAAAGGGAGAAAATTAAGACTTAAAACCACTTTGAAAAAGAAGAGGAACCAGTACATATATTTATAGTGTCACACTTGTTCAATTCATGACCCCTGTGAATTGTTTGGGCCACTATAGGCAATTCACATTTTACATTTGAATACATGTATATATGAAGTCTTCTCAAGAACAGCAAAGCTATGGTTAATCATAATCAATTAGTATCCGTAGGTAAAACATACTAATATATATTCAAGTTTTTTTTTTCAAATCTCGATCCCTAGGGCCATAATTGCCTATCAAAGGTTTATATGGGAATATGATTGACTGATTCTATTTGTTTTGCGTCCGGTTGGAGAATTTTTTACTCATAAGAGAACACCAAACACGCAACGAACGAACGTATCTCGACGGTATTAACCGTATTACTAGTATATAAATAACATCACTCGCTTTATGTTTATATTGTAATTATTGCAAAGGCGGATCCAGCACCGGCGCGCCGGGCGTGTGCCCCCTCTTCCATTTGATTTTTAATTTTGTTTGTATTATCCTAAAATCAACAGGAAAACACCTCTAATTTGTTATAGAGTTCCTCAGTTTCCGTGGCCTTCGCCCCTGGATTGCGCCTCTGGATCCCCACCAGGTCTTTAATGCAGCCCCCAGACCTCCCAGTCTTCTACTGCGCCCCCCCCCCCCCCACGTTTTAAAATTCCTGGATCCGCAATTAACAATTCGTTAACTATAGTTTTCATCTGTAAAACTATATTTAACGGTTGTTAACTATCGTTTACGAATGCTAATCTAAATTAATCTGTCTGTAATAAAACGGTAACAATAGATTTGTTGATAAACATAGATTCGCGTATCTAAACTATAATTTACAATCGTGAACTATAGTTAAGAGTTGTTAATCATAGTTTATAAATCATGAAACTGTATTTATCAGATAATCTATGTTTTGCAACCGCAAATGATTGTTTTTAGTGTTAAGTATATATAGTTTATTGTTCTGGAACATAGCTTATCGCGTTAACTGTGGTTTACAGATGTAAAATATAGATTAATTTCAATTGTTAACTATAATTTACATTAGTGTACAACCGATAAACCTAGTTTTTCGACTGTGAAATTATATATGTTTACCTTATTTTTGTGAATTTGGCGTGCCATGCATACATAAGACATTATCGTAATAAACAAAGGTCATCCTTTAACATGGGCATACAGAAAAGCAATTTTTGAAAAAAAAGGAGAGGGGTCCAGGTCGGTGTACCCAGCACTCATGCGAAGAATCACACCATGGCCACTTCAAGTCCGTAGCTTCATTTATAAGAAGGGGAGCTCCAAAAACATTTCACAAGCAAAACAAACAAACAAAAACAAAACAAAAAAACCTATGCGCAACACTTTAAACTTGGGAGGGGGTAGAGGGGGCTTCGTGTCACTTTTCTGTTCGGTACAATACTTTCAATCTTGAATCTGCGTTTCTGCATGCTACAGGAACATTTTAATATTTTTCTAGTTTGATTAAAAATATTTATGCATACTTCTGAAGTTAGTTACTCCTGAAGATGGTCCAAAAATGGTATAGCTAAAGTTCGCTGGAATCTACATATCTAGCGAGCAGAAAGGACAGCGATTTTTTTTATTTTTCAAATGATTAGACGTATAAATATCTATATTACAGAAAAGCTATTCTCTCTCTCTTTCTCTCTCTTTCTCTCTCTCTCTCTCTCTCTCTCTCTGTGTGTGTGTACAAAAATAAAGAGGGGTTCAAACCCCCGGAACTCCCCTCTCGTTTGCCAATGCTTTAATGTAATATGGATCAATTTTCATTTGTTATAAGTTAATTAAAAGGAATCAATAAATACACACCTGAACATATGCATATATTTATATCATACTGGTACATGGAACACCAAAGCGATTATACTTATCAAAGTGATAAATTTTTCTATACGTGTGATTCGTCCGTACGTTTCGTCAGTTACACAGGTAATCACAAAGTAAACAAGTTTACTGTTCGTAAAACTAATATTCGTTCGTTACGTGTTTGGTGTTCTCTACTTAGAGACGTCACCATGTACCGGTGAATGTTCGATGCTGGCCATGAGCACGATTTTTTTCTTGTATTAATTTTTTTCCTCCATTTTTTATTCGGAATTAGATAAATTTAATGCTATTATACCAGAAAAAAGTAATAAAATTTTTAAGTTAAATAAGCCGATTATTCAATAAAAAGATGCAACTGAATGATAACTGAAAGGTCACTGAAATGTATGTGCTATTCAATCGACTGAATGGTAACTGAATGATCACGGAAAGGTCACGGGAAAGGGTCTTTTCAGTGACCTCTCCGTGACCATTCAGTGGGGATTCAGTTGTCATTCAGTCGAATGAATGGTGGATTTTCATCCTGTTTGTCTTCAAATTTAGATCTTTACGTGGCACTCGGGATCATTAATAAGAGAGGGTTCCTTACGGGAGCGCTCTCTTTTATATCTGAATAAATATGAAATTTTTTTTTGATATTTTCTTCTCATGATTGTTCATATTAATATGGAAGCATCTCCAAGTAGTTTAGCTTTAAGGGCATTTTAATCACCATTTGGGATGTTGGTTAGCGGCACAATATGTGACTAAAGTTTTACTGGATTGAGGGGGGTGCAGAGGGAAAACAACAGATACTCAAATGAGCGATGTGGCCCATGGACTTCTTGTGTTCATAATCGACAAAACTATACTAAACAAGAAATACATAATAACCAAACAGAATACATTTTCATTTTTTTTACAAGTGCTTATCCTTATACATAGTCAATATAAGTGATACCATTCTTTTTCTGCTTTATAGCACACTGACACAGATTTTGTCTATAAATTTTGCTCAGTAAATCTTTAATTTTGTATATTTGTTATTAACCTTTGTTTCAAAACAAATTTGTAATGATTGTATTTTGTATTATTTCACTAATAAAGATATAAATGGTAACGGTATTGAATAAGTTATAATGAAGTTATTGTATAAAAATATACATTATTTTATTTGGTTAGAGGGCAATATGCTTTTGTCGGACCCAAGAATGAAACTGTTTTCCTGGGGCCGCATTTAGCCCGAGAACACAGTCAATAATTTTTTTTATACCTTTCAATTTTAACCTACATGTATCTTATGTCGGCGTCCATGAAGTAAATTTCCTCTACCGGCTCTGCAGTAAAACTCGGTAAATTCCGTCACCATTGAACACTAACAAATTCAAGTCAATGTCTCTGATACAATTTTGGTGTGGCAGACGGACAGAGGGACAGCTAGACGGATGGACGGACAGACAGACGCCGGGAAAAGGGGTCCCTTAGTGCTCCTCTGCTCTGCAGGCGACTACAAAAATAGATCATTGTATCCCTTGTGTGGTCTCCTTTTTAACAGCAGGTTGCACCAAGATTTAAATAGAGGGGAGATAATATCTCAGATATATTCATTGTGTCTTAATTCATGCCCATAATTGTTTTCCATAAATTTTCACCAAATTACTGTTTAACTAATATTAGTAGCCTTATATGTTCTCCATACTATTAAGCTTGTTCAGCAGGGTTTACCAGGCAACTAAAATCCCGTGATTTCAGAAATCAGAGTGGGCGTTACGTAGCAATTGACGAGAGAAGTAGTGTGTGAAACGGCTCGTCTTTCCCTTATATTTATTTGTTTAATATTTCATGACCAGAGGTCCACCTATTCTGGATAAATGTGTTTATCTATTACCTTAAGCTGTGTGATTTATTGACCGTGTTTAATATTCCTGTAATGGCAACAGAACTTTTTTTCAGTCTATAAGTTCATTCGTAAATTAGATTCAATTTAAAGTAGTATTTGCTCATGTAAAGTATAAAGTAAAAGTAAAATCGTATGATTATATGTTTAATGTAGACATAGTGTTGTATGTACAATATATGGCGTATAGTATTCGTCTTAAGGTTTCATCAAAGATCAATATCATGAATATGTCCAAAAATTTATTTTTACAATAGCTCCAAAACTATGTGATTTATAAAGCTGAAACTTTTACAGTTTATAAATATATCATTGATTCACAGGTAGAAAGTACCACTCGAAAACAAAGACGGAATAAAAATATTTATCGAGAAAATTATTTTTAAAAATGCCTTTATTTTCAAAAATACACCTTATTAATTCTATACTTTTAGTGAAAGCCATCATTGCAGGAACAATGTATATTTATCAATGAAGTGCGAGTTGGACTTCGATAGCCTCTAGAAATTGTTTTCCTGCTTATTTTGTCCAAATGTTTAGATTTGCCATCGAAAGTACATTACAAATAGCGGATTTAAAGGGTTCAGGCCTTTATACATGCTGTGCTTTCAATAAAAGTCTTTCAAAGACGATTCACGTCCAACTTGCCTTTCATTGATAAACATGTATTATTTCTGCTAAGATGGTTTTCACTAAAAGCACAGAATTAAGCAGGTGCATTTAAAAAAAATATTGATTTTTTTTTGTACATAATTTTTCTCGCTAAATCTTTTATTTTTTACATATTTGTTTTCAAGTCACACATTCTAACGTACATGTACTCTTTATATGCCATTGTTATTCAACGCAAAATCACATCATAGAAATGAGGCGTTACCTTTTCCCTGCAAGCACTTTATAGCGCGGTACAAGTCTCTTAAATTAAGTTTAGCGTACTAAGGAATATTATGATGTAATGTTTTAATAAGAAAAAAGTTTTTTAATTTTTTAAATTTAGAGATTAAAGCAAATATAAAATACAAGGAAATTGGCATGAAATGAACATTAAAGGTTCTTTTTAAAGTGCGCGAAAAATGTGTGATCGCGGGAAAACGGTATACATGTGCGCGTGATTTTGCGTTAGAAATAGAAAATGGCATATACGAGTACATGTACATGTACGTTAGAATGTGTGACTGTGGTTAAGGGGATTGAGCAATCTTATGATATATTCATAAATTGTCAATGTTTTAACTTTATACCTCACATTGTTTTGAAGCTATTGTAAAATTAATTTTGTAGCATGCTGACAATGAAGAAACCTAAATCTTAGCAGAAATAAAGTATGTTTATCAATGTGGAAGTTGGACGTAAAAATTCTGTAAAGTAAAGGAGATTTATTGAAAGTACAGTGCAGTAAAATGCAACTTTAAATGTATTTGTAATGTACCTATAAGTAAATGTATCAGTAAAAATGCAAGGAAAACAATTTATGTATCAAAATTCATGTCTGTATCTGACTTTGATTTATTCTATACTTGGTCACTTTTATAACTTTTATACCATTTATGCCAATTACGACATTGAGCCACTGAGCCAGTCGGCCATTTAGCAAGAACTGCGCGTGTATTTGTACATATTTTGAATATATACTATTTTATATACAATGCCTTGCAATTTTGGGGAAGCAGCCCTGTGACACATTGCAATAGCCCATTAATCTGTAATTTTAATAATATTGAAATTCAAGTTCACGTATAACATAAACGTTTTATTTTATTAACAATTAGGATTAAATTCTCCATGGCAGAGTTGGCAGGAAAGTATTTTTCATTTCATATCTATTGCAGTCTAAAAGATTTTAGTATCGATAATTAGTTAACATACAAAGGTATCCGTGTTTGTTCATCAAAGCGTATAGACTGTAAATGAATCGCTGTTTTAAAAACATCATGGAATATTTCATACGGACCATTTATTTTCGTTGAATGAAAAATCTTTAAAGCAAATTATGGTTTGAAGACGAATGTAAATATTAAAGCGTATGTGTATGCGTAAATTTTACATGTGTGCAGACTGATTTGTTTCACAAAGACATGCAATGTGCATGCTGTCACAGGAGACTTTTACATGTATTATTCCCCTTACAACATACTAATTGTAAGGGGAATGTTGACTTCAATGTAGCTGTTTAGTGCATTATACAACAGACAGAGATTCTTATTCCTTCTAAGCTCAAAAACCTACAGTTGTGTGCCAAAAGTGAAGATAATTTTATTTTTTCTTTATATATTTCATTGAAAACAGTATTTTGTAAAATCGCTGGTATGACAACATTTCTTGACAGATTTTATCAAAAATTTCTTGATATTCCAAGAAATTGTTGCAGTTAAAAAAAACAATAGTTTTTATCTGATAAGCATTGATAATCTTAAAATATTGTAATATAAGTGTGACATGAATTTTTAAGTAATATACTCACAATGAATTATATTCAACATTTCTTGAATTTTGAACTATGTTTAATGAACTATATTTTACTACATTAAACGTGTAATGATCTTTTAAAGAAAGATAACTACACATTTCCTGATTTAAGTACTGAAATAAATAATTAAATTGGACAAAAATTGACCATTTACCTATGATTTTACAAAATGTTGTTTTCAATGAAATATATAGAGAAAAAATAAAATTATCTTCACTTTTGGCACGCCACTGTACATCTGGCTCCAAGACCATAAACTGATAACAGACTTAAGTCAAAGATTTTTAATATCTGAAGTTTCATTCATTGTATAAGATAAAAATTTGCAATTGTGCAAAACGCTTCAATTCAAACATATAATGAAAATTTTATTTTATTATCAAAATTATTCCGAAAGTTCTATCAATTTGAAATTTGACTTAAGTCTGTTCTCAGTTTATGGTCTTGGGGCCTAGTGTTTCCGTTGAAATATGTATTACTCCTGTTCATGAGTTTGTTGTATACAAGTTTCATGATATGCACCAGTTTTGTCATCAAAAACTTTTTATATGACCAAATGCCAAAGAAATTAAAAGCGAAAATTCATATACATTTATGGAAATTGGTTTCTTAAAACATCTATACCAAAAAGTCAATTTAGTTTTCTAAAATGCATAAATTGTTTTAGTTGAAAACAAAACACATTTATACATACATATGAGTTCTTTCCGTTGTAATGTGTTAAAACACAACCAACAGATAAGCAAAAATGTATGTAAAATCAATATAAATCTACTTGCATCTTTTTTTCGATTTTTACTGGAATCTTGTATAAGAAAGCAAAATCAACTTCAATGATTTGTTATACATGTTATATGACGGAGAGAGAGAGAGAGAGAGAGAGAGAGAGAGAGAGAGAGAGAGAGAGAGAGAGAGAGAGAGAGAGAGAGAGAGAGAGAGGGGGGAATAGAAAGAGATTTTACACCAATGTGTGTATTAAACATAATTATGAAGTTTTATCTTGATAAGGATTTCTAACGCACTTGTTTACATTTGCAAATGTGGTCTGCTATTTGTTTAAAATATGGGGCAGTTATTTGAAAGGAAAATTATCGAAGTTCTTTTAAAAGAAAAAAAAATAATATTTACAAAATATGAAAAAAAGGCAATTTCCCTTGACAAGTTATTGTAAAAATATCCAATTTTTAATCAAATGTACTCTTGGACAGGACGCCTACTAAAATTATTCCTCAGGGCGAATTGGACATTCCTTTCCAAATATGATCATTATGACCTCATATATCATGTATACCTTCGACGGAAATAGGGGAACCCCCAAATGATCGTTTAACACAATATACCCCATATTATATTATTATAGTGGGGTATAGTTATGTTTAATGATATTTTTTTAATGTTTTAGTCGATTTTTCCGATGGCACACATGATAAATTTGTTTAGATATAATTTGTAAAGATATGTCCAACTAGTCTCCCCTGGGTTGAATATTTTGGGATGGGGTTACATGCACCGCCCACAAGTAACTATGATCTCAATTATTCGACATGTTTTAATAGTATTTTCAGATCAAAGACCATGAATTCAGGTCACATGCATCACTCTTTTGAGTTTCAAATTTCATAGAGTCACGGTTTTACCTTAAATGAATTTCACCGTCGTCCTTTTTGTGTTTGTAATTCATGCAAGACTGCCTTTTTCATTCATTAAAATTTGAGGTTTTTATTTTTAAAATCTTCTCGAATTATTATCATTGTCTGTATGTTTCTGCTTTTTATGATGTATGCAACTGTTGTCAAAGCCACACGATACTTTACAAAATAATATATGTTAATTAATTTCTTATAGGACTCAGTTGATCATCTTGAAGAGTGACTTGAACTTTATATATTATATAAGAAGATTATTTTCGTAATTTTCATTGGTTGAAAGAACGTCACGTGATATTCCTCCTTTTGTGATGTCGACGCAAAAGCGCGTACGCGGAAAATATCACACGACACACCGTTCAGTTGCACCAAAGCTACGTAGAACGTGACGTCATAATATAAGAAGCGTGTTTTCACCATTGTGACGTAATGACAGCCGAGTCTGTTCAGTTAGGACTGTGTCAGAGCATTCACTTTGAAAGATTATATAATATAACTATTATGGACTTCAGTGAACGGTCAATATGTGGCTATAAGGACTCATGGCAATATTGATATTGACCGAAGACACAGAAAATGATAGCGACCTCGCAGGCTCGGTCGCTATCACTTTCTGTGTCTTCGGTCAATATCAATTGCCATGAGTCCTAATAACCACATATCGACCTACACTGAAGTTCATAATTGTATAGTATATCCACTATCAACTATAAAAAGAAACATCATCTTAAAAAATTCTCACGTTTCAAATGATTACCCAACAATTTTGTTTTTGATTTATTGGACATTTAAAATTGATGATTAAGTTTAACTGAATGGAATTGTAACAAACTCGATGCTGTATTCAGTGGTTGTGTCATTAGGAAATACTGGTATTCTATGACCTAGTTATCGGAAATATCAGTATAATTGTATTTAAAAAATCACCTAAATATTTGAATTGACGTTTAACCTTGTTTCACTTTAACCGTAGATTTTAACACGACAACCAGTTTGCAAAATTGTAAATCGACCCCATTTAGCTGCTATTCATTTCACCTTTTTTGTAAAGGAACATGATTGGCCATATTTAGCAAAATACCCGGGTTTTCAACGCATGCGGTAATTAATAGAGTCCGTGACTTGTACACGAAGGTGTGGTAATGCGTCAAAAATCATGAGGTTTTTGGCCTTTTACTTAATTTCTTTATGTTTTAGCTCTAGTGTCAGGGCTGTTTGTCAGTCAAATAGGATTCGGATAAATGGAAACGGTTATACTGGAGTCACTGTTGCAATATCCAGTAAACTTCAACCTACTCAAATACAGATACAAAAAATTAAGGTGAGGTTTTCTTCTTTCATGTAGAAAGGAATTTTTTTTTAAACGTACAATGAATTGAATAGAAACTCTTTGTTTCTTCATTCAGAGTAAACGTGTACACTGTACAATACTGTAGATAAAATGCATGCGAACTGATATCTCTCTTAGGGGTTTTTATAATGTATACAACATGTACATGGGTATTGATTTGTTTGTCAATTAAAGCTGAATATTATATGATTTGTTTGATAATATAATATAAATTTGGTTTTAAGAAATTCAAATTAAAATTTCAGAATACTAGTAAATTGGTATTTTGTTAATATAAAGATTTGCTTAATATAACGATCCAATGACCTTGAGATAAGTCGCAAAATTTAAAATTAAACATGTAAATGAAGCAACTCAATACCATAGAAGAAACACCCGAATTCCTTATCAAAAGAAATGCAGTGATTGTAAAATTTGATAAAAGGCGTAGAGAAAAATCAGAAACCTTGAAAACCGAACGCATTTTTAAATAACTTGGATCTGTTATTTGCTCTATTTACCTTTAAAACATTTTTATTTAAATCTTAAAAAGTACACATTTAACAAGCAGGTTCTTCTTTTAAATAAATGTAAATAAGCATTGATTTTAATGCTTCTGTGATATCGATGTATCTTTTCTTTTAAATTAGACAATATTAATTCAAGAAATTTATATAGAAATAAATTACTTATTTTATTTTAATCATTATTATTTGCTAAATGGAAACTGCGAGGATGATAGCAAAGTCCTTCTCATCGTCTCAAGCCACGGTCCGGAGTCCGCATATACTAGATGGTAGAGGAGCGTACATTTTGGCCGTGGTTTGCGACGATGAGTCCTTCTGGGAACTTGGGAAAGAGAAAATTATAACTTTACAAATTGAAGCTAATTATTTTTACAGTCACATCAAATAAACCTAAACTTGAAATCAAACAATCTTTTTCGTTTTATCTTAATTTCTCTTTGGTTCTCTTTTTCCCGAAAACTGAAGGAAAATTCAACATTATTTGAAACTAGTTTAGATATTACAAATGTCTTCAGCGCTTCAAAGATGCGGAAACATATTTAAACTGAATACATATAGGTCTGTAGTCACCCACCTTTCCACAGCTGCTGTGCCGTCAACATATAAGATTATACATGTATATGAGTCATTATATAAGTCATTTAGTAGAAAGATGCAAAATAAAATGTCAGAACTAATCATCTTTATATTCGTTTCTTATAGGACCTATTTATGGCCGCTTCAGCCCAATTGTACGAGTCAACAAAATACCATCTCTACTTTAAGGATATTACAATAGTAATACCAAAGTCATGGCCAAACGATATTACCAACGATTTTGTTAGAGGACCCCAACTCGATTCTGCACATGTGATTGTTGACAATCCTAACCCACTGGTGGATAACAGGCCATATGTATCTGGTATGACCGGTTGCGGAAAATCAGGAAAGCACATACATTTAGAACCATATACGGTACAGATTCTTCCAGCTCAGAAAAGCGGAGGTATTGCAGTTAAAAAATATTTGTAAAAATCCTTGCATTATAATTGTATCTCGGTTGTTATATGCACGAGACAGTCATTTTCAAGAGAAATTTTGCAATGTTTATTGTTTCTTCTTGCAATTGTAGATAAAATTTTAGTGCATCTTTGGGGCCATTTTAGATGGGGTTTATTCGACGAACATGGTGATAAGGAATCTCCAATGCAGGACTTAAACACAAATACATGGTTTTATCCATCTGAAGGAACATTTAAACCAAACATGTAGGTACCTTACAAAAGAAAATTATATTCAGAAAATAAACGGCCCTCTGTTTGAAAACTGACAGTTTTTTTCAAATCTACTTATATTTCCAGCTGTGCTAAAGATATCATAGGAAAAAGAGAGCTCTCGTATTGTGAGAGTCAAATGCAGTGTTCATTAGACGAGAATGGTTTACCTGAGAAGGACTGTAAGTTTTGCGCAGATGAATCAGGAAATGCCGTCAAGGGGTCAATAATGGGGAAACCAGGAATCTCAAGTGTAAGAACCTAACTGTGCAAAAGCAACAGTTACTTCAATTGCTTTAATACTGTTCCGTTGAACTTAATAAAGAAAACCCTTGAAAATTTCTTGAATAGTTTTTTTTCCTTCTTTTTACTGCATACATGATTTTTTTAATTTAAAAGTAAATATTAATCTTTTTAGAAATTCTTAAATCTTTTCACACCGAACAGAGTTTATTAATGCATCAATATATGGAACACAAGGATGCATAATACAGCTAGGACGCATTTTATCTCTTGTGTAATATAATGCCTTATCATCTATAAAGGTGGAAGAGTTTTGTGATGACAATGGCAACACTGTTCCACACAACAAGGAAGCGCAGACTCCACAAAACAGATTCTGCCAAGGTAGAAGTGCTTGGGAAGTAATGAGACTTCACTCCGATTTCAAAGGTATTTTTTGCGATTGAAAAAGCTACAGTTGCTAATTTAAAAAAGTCGTCAGAATACTTCCTGGAATAGGTTGAAGTTTTTAACGAAAAGATTTATTTAATTGTTTTAAACAAACTTCATTAATTTTGTTCTATACACTGCACTTGTGATTTCATTACTTAAAAATAGAACAAATAAAAATATCGTATAACTTATTAATGTTAACCAATTACTGATGTAATACCAATGCTAACGTAATTTTTAATTATATATAACATAGATACAACACCAGGTTCTCCGACACAAGATACCACGCCAACATTTAGAGTTGTTCAACAGAAAACTGGTCAAAATTTCGTGATGGTCTTGGACAAGTCCGGGAGTATGAATTTTTATGTACGTAACAGGTCAGGAAATGTAAGAGTTTATGTACATTTCAGAGTCAGGAAATATATATCTACCTACCTATATTAAGTCTTTGTTGCACCCAGAGGCACATAGACTTAGTAATAAAGATTTATACCCTTCTCTGTTCCTTGCTATCCTTTCAAACTATCCTCAGGTAAGATTCGCGTCTTTGAGTCAGGAAGTATGAAGTTGTATTGCATGAAAAATTATGTAAAATATATAAAATTTTATGCAAGTTCAGTTTGCATTAAAACTTTTTGAAGCAGACTCAAAATGTTTGTTATTTCTAGCATCAGAAATTATTGCATAATGATGTTAACATTTATATTTTAGGATGGTCCCTCTAATGATACAAGTGTTCTACGGAAGGTAAAAATTGCTATTTTTATCATTATGTTATTATTCTGAACCATGAATATATTTCTACTGTAATCAAATCTAATCTAAATGAAAGAACTTTCTTTCCTTTTCAAAGCAAAGAATGACAAAATTGAAAGAAATAACTTCCATTTTTATTCTGGATTGGCTACCCATGGGGAGTTCTCTTGGAATAGTGGCATTCAACACAACAGCTTACACTGTAGCCCCAGTCAGGTCCGTAACGACGGGCGCCGTACGACAAGAACTAGTCACACTAATCAAAGATATTGACGTTGGCGGAGGTACTTCTATCGGGACAGGGCTTCGGGAAGGAATACAGGTACAGAATCATTTTATTAGTTATAATTTATTATGAACAAAGGGGCACTTACAAGATGATAATAAAAGTGAGGTGTCTTCATGTATATTTCAGCATAACGTATTATATATATATATATATATATATATATATATATATATATATATATATATATATATATATATATATATATATATATATATATATATATATGTATGTATATATATATATATATATATATATATATATATATATATATATATATATATATATATATATATATATATATATATATATATATATTTAATTTTATTGATTATTGTTTCCAATTAATTATCTGAGTCAAATAAGATTTTTTTCAGTATTGATATTTTCAGCTGTCCTCTCAATATTCAGTATCAAATCATTTCAATAACCCTACTGTGTTATAGATTTTTAATCGAGGTTATATTTAGGCTAATACGTACATCTGTATAATAAAAAAAATAACTTACCTAACTGACACTACCTGTGGTTTGATTGATTTTGAAATGTTTTGGACAACGTTACTTCATATAACGTTATTCTAAAAGTTCAATAAAAAGCTAAGATATTGGATGCTAAAATGTTCTTAAAATTTAAAGTTATTATTTTTATTCTAGAATATCTATTTGCTACATGTGTATATAATTATAAAAATGTATTGATTGAGTTATTTTCTGTAAGGCATTATTGAAAACTTTTTTTTATTTAAAAAAAAACATTAAATGCTTACCCTTTCATAGAGCTCGTTCTCAAAAAGAAAGATATCAACCCATTTCTGATCAGATTTATATTATGTTTTTTTAATCATACAATGAAATTTGAGATATATTTAATAGATGATACATCACAAATAAAATAAAATCCTGTCAAGAGGCAGATTTTGGTGGAAATAATTATTCTACTAGTGAAATAAGAATAATTTAATCTGTTCAATACCTGTTTATTTCAAGTTCTCTAAAAAATAAAATGAAAATATATCAGTCTAAATCAGAAAAAAATAATTATAATAAATCATATTAAATGTACAATAAACTTAATAACTCATAATCAAACTTTTTTTATCTTGCTAGTAATTAGATATTCGTTGTGTATTAAATATCTGCATGAAAATGTCTGAGACTCTGTGATAATATTCCAGGTATTAAAGACACTCGGAGTAAACATCAGTGGCAGCGAAATCATTTTAGTGACTGATGGTGAAAATACACATCTTCCAGGGATAAACGAGGTTGAGAATGAAATCTTAGCTGAAAAAGTAATTGTTACAACCATTGCCATTGGTAGAAATGCAGACAAAAACATGGAAACCTTGGCAAAAAATAGTGGAGGTTCAAGCCATTTTTATTCCGGATATGACCAGTCTACCGCTCTGATTGATAGTTTTGTAAATATTGCTGAATGTGCTTCTGATGACGAGAGTAAACTTTTTCAGGTCAGTATTGACATATTTCGAGTATCAGTATTAAATATGAGATTTTCGAAATCTTTATTTTAATTGACCTGGGGTCTTTTTTGGTATTACCAAAAAAAAATCATGCCTTGGGAATTTGTTTTAAGGACGGCAATAAATATTCCAAATATAACATTCTTGGCTTATATCTCTACACAACCTTACCAAACCATGATGCTTCTATGATACCTTGTTTAATCTACTCTTATTTCAAAGCACAGGAATTTTTTTTTAGCTTGATTACAGTTAGTCTAGGTTAATTGTTTCCCATACAATATATATAGAATAAGTATCCGTATATCTTAAACACAGTGTAAGGATTGAATTATTTCGTGTTATTTTTTTTCAGATAGAAAGTAAAAGTCTGAATGTCACGAAAGATCGGAATTACACCAGTATCATTTCTATTGACGACACAATAGGACGGGACACAACATTGTTACTTCAGGGTCCTGGCGTGAACTATGCTACATTATCTCTGTCTGGACCTGGGAATAGAATATGGACATCCGGTGTATGTAACGATTCTTGTCGCGTTAAGATTGACGCACTAGCTGAGGTACGTGTTACTTATGAAATCTGGAAGTCTCACTTGAGTGACGCGCTAGCTTAGGTATGAGATTGTTCCTTGAGTATTGAAGTCAGATTTGAACCTTTGATTATCTTTAGATAAAATTATATTTTGAAGGTTGGTGATTATGTGGTGAATGTTACGTCATCTTTTGACACTGGACTTGTTCTAACACTGACCGCGCATTCATATCCCAGAAATCCATCAGAGGAAGTCATCACTGCGTCTGCGTGGTCCTCAACAGACTCATTTGATTTCTCGCCTTCTAATACGATTAATCTTTTCGCACAAGTACAAAAGGGATCATCGCCAGTTTTAGATGCTAGCGTCGAAATGTTGCTTGAGGATTCAGAGGATCACATGACAACAATTAATCTCTCTGATAATGGCTTTGGTATGCAAACATAAATATTTTTGAACATTTTCTAAAAAGGGCAATCTCTCGTGGATGGTCATAGACGAATTTGGCTTATTTACATGAAAAATATGGAGATAACGAGCTATAATTAAACTCATTTTTACGGGTGAACTATTAATGGTGGATTGCTATCGATATCATTGCCTGGTTATGATTTCTATATGTAGGTGAAGATATAGTTCAAGGTGATGGTCTCTACACGGGTGTGATATTACCTTCTCAAATTAAATCTGCTGGAAGACATAGTCTGAAAGTCTCTGTGACGGGAAAAAGTGGAGAAACCAAAATTTTGGTTCCAAAAGTGAAAAGACGTAAAAGAGCTGCTCAGGACAATGTCCGTAAGGATGTCTTTTTGTATTACACTATTTGATTCTAGCCATCAGTAGTCTTAATTATAGATGAAGCATTATACATTGAAAACTGTGTAATCCGTTTTATTGTGAATTTCAATCTCTTTTCACTGTTTTTACTGGTTCTTTTTGCTGTCTGGTCAATCGTCTTGTCTATTCTGACAAAAGATTTCTCTCCCTGTGCATGTTGCCTCAAAAAGAAATCGCTTGCAGATATTTAATGTCAAAGGCCATATTATTTACCTTTTAATTTTCTACCTATATTTTATGATAGTAAAGTATATTTAATTTAACCATTTAGTCTAAAAAGTAACTTGTCGCGCCTCTAAAAATTGAATATTTACATGATTTAAACGACTTACCGTGTGATTTTTGTTGAAATTATAGCCGGAACAGATCTTGTAACTGGAACAGTTGCAGGATTCAAACGAGTAACTTCCGGTGGTTCCATCACTGTGCAGAATTACAAAACTTCAGCCGAAGGAGGTGACAAAATTCCACCAGCTAGAATAACAACACTCAAAGTAGTGACGTCAAACGGAAACCTCTTTAACATTAGCTGGAACGCTGTCGGAGATGACGTCACATATGGATCAGGTATTCAAGGCTGTGTGCGATATCCTTATGTTATGAATTTATCGATATACATGTATATATGAATTAAATAATGTATAAATGGTTATTTTTGTAATGAAATTACGTTTTGAAAATTGTTGCCATTGTAATTGTCCAAAACAAAAAAAAATATTTTTGGACTTTTGTTCTGTTCTGCACTCTCAAACTTAATATACATTCAAATGATAATGCTTTGATTTCTTGTAAGACATATCGGAATACTAGAACCTCATGAAGACCATTTGATAAAATGTTATTCTTCCATTGTTTTTTTACATTTTGAGATAATATGGATTTTTTTTCATTTTCAACATTGTCTTTCATGGATCAATATAAAAATATTCACAATATTTAAAGTTAAACAACTTCTTCTTAGTTCTCATGAAATATGAACTTGATAATCTTTTCTATTTCTAGCTACATCTTATTTGATTTTGTTGTCAAAGTCCTACTCGGATTTGCTGAATCTTCCAGACAGAGTCAATGCTTTGACCGACCAAGTACCAACACCGTCAAAACCCGGTAATACCGAATTCTTCTCTTTATCGTTACCAGAAGTTGGTGTAAATTACTATTTAGCAGTCCGAGCTGTTGATGACGCAGGGAACAAGGGAGATGTCTCAAATATTCTGTCTCTGTCTGTGGTTACCGATAACTCTTGGCAACCTGTCCGAACACAGCCACCAACGTTGTCCTATGATGGCGTCATTGCATCTGCGTGTGTAGCAGCATTACTTGTTTGTATAATTGTTTTATGTGGAATATGCTTTTGTAAGAGAAGAAATGCTTCCAGAAGGAAATCAAGCTACAAATCTAGAGAACAATATGGCCAATTTTCAAATGATATTTCATATGATCCTTATCAAGCGCAATACCAAAATCACATGTTGCATATGTACATGCATCAAATGCACAACCAACAAATAACCAGGCAATATTATGCCAACGATCCGAGATTTAAAAAACGAGATGTATATCCCTACCATATTTCCTGAAAAAAATGGCAATTATAACGAAGAATCATAGGGAGATTTGATGGGATGAACTAATTCACATTAAATTTTATAATGGAAAGTTCGCCTACAATACTCGTACTAACTGCAAAGATTTGTACACGCTGGAACTAAAACAGAAGAAGATGGACTGTTTTTGAATTTCTTTTGACGTACTTTTTTAATTTATGTATATCAAATCCATCGAAAATTCAGCAATTATCGTTTAAAATAAATAAAGAAATGTTTTATTGTTGTTTATATCTACTTAGTGAAAAACATTCTTGAAGGATTAGAATGTCCAAAACTTGACCGATGTTTAGTTTCTTTACATAAGACAGATGTACACTTCGTTCGTTTTTTTTTTTTTGGTTAAATATCCCATCAACATTATTTCACTTAAGAAATAAATAACAAATTTATAAACTTCAATGGGAATTGAAGTGGGCCGGTCACGTGATCAAATCCTGTGAAGGCCAAAGGCCTTCTCAGAAGATTTGCCTGAAAGGGATGGATGGATCCGTGTTTTGTGCCAGCATCCATTGCGACATCCGAAGGGCCTATCTCCGTGACCCACAGTGGGAATTAAACCCCACGATTCCTTACTCCACGACTCGAGACCAAGCACTTTAACCAATGGGCCAAGCGCGCCCGTTATCCATTCAACACTTTCAAGTGCTAGAAGGTCACCTGTTTGGCTTTCATTATGAGAAAAGCCAAGTGTCGTCCTGTCCTCATCTCTCTAAAAGTATTTTTATTCATAAAATGTTATAATAATAGTTATTATAAATACGATACTCTTAATTTTTTTTTCATTATTTTCTTTAAAATGTACGTATTCTTTATCCTCATCTTACGTATATATACTGTTGTCATAACCGAACCAGTGACTTATTATGTAGCAGTGTCTCAGGCAGATGACCATGAGGTGATAGTTATCAATTCAAACAAAGCAATCTGTCTGATATGTTATGCAGTTGTTTATTTAGGTATCTAGAATCAATCTTAAATATTGCCGATCAAAAGGTGTGTATACATAAATTTGTTGATAACCTTGCAATGATCATAATCTAGGTCAAAAAAAAACTCTTACAATGTTCTATCAATGAATTTTCATTTCGATCGTGTGAAAACCGGATTTGCATCCATTCTTCGCTAGGAATAATTTCTGCAATGGAATTTTCCTTCAGAACTTTTATTTTTCTCGCGATATTGTCACAGGTACGTACATGTATTATCATAAGATGAATTTTAGTTCTCCTTAGTGAAATTATTTGTTCAAAATATTACATATTATGTCGCACGTGTGTAGCAACCGCTAATGATATACACTGTAACGCCGCTTATTTCAACACTCAATGATAGTTCTATCATTCAGCGGCGATATATCATTAGCGGTTGCTGCACACGCGTAACACTTTACTATCTTTGAGTATTCTTACAAATATACATGTACTTCCATGATAGTGTTTCTGTAAAATGGTTCAGCAAATGATAACGGATAAAAAAAAACAAAAATCGACCATTCAAAAATTGAAGCAGTTTTAAAACCATGTTGATAATTATAGGGATCTTAATTAAAATCAGTTTCATCACATAGCTTAAGGATATTAATTTCATTACATGTAGTATAGACATGGAAAGTTGCATGATGACTACCAATATGTATATAATTATACTCTAATTATAATTATATACACTGTACAAAAATATATTGAAGAATCTTAATTAATTAAAAGTTAATTTGTTTGCCATGCGAAGTAATTTATCGAATAGTTCCTTTAATTCACTTAGAATAGTTTGCATTATGAATTATTGAGCACATTATTTAATGGGAAAAAATTGCAATTAGCACATTCGATTCGATGCTTCTTTAAATTGAAGTTATATCACAAGTTGGTTTGTTGTTCAATCTCATGTAAGAAAGACTGTAATTAAATAAGTAATAATAATCATAAATTAAAGATTGAATGCTATGCACTTTGAAATTTATTTTTGAAATTATTTTTTTTTTTAAAAAACTTTATAATGCGCTTTTATACTGCAAAGAATAATATCAGAGAAGAGAAAATGCCACTGAGATATTTCCAAATTTTACACATTTTTCTTTATTTCAATTGTGTTTACTGTATTTTCTTTACATCTAGACAGCAGGAAAAATCACGGTGGTCTTCCATATTGACGAAATAGGAAACTCCGGAAACCGAGTGAAAGGCGGGGCCTGCTGTCAGGGGCTCACAACGACCTGTTCTAAGTTGTGTAAGCCCGTCATATCAGTGTGCATCTACAGGTGGGTAGATGTCTTTTCAATCTATTCACTGGGTGAAAAAAGTGGTTTCCCATCATGGGAAACTTTATGGAAACCACATGGAAACCTCAAGTTTACATCATGTTTCCCAGTGGTTTCCGCAGCGGATGCCAGGTTATTCCGCCAAGTTTCCGTGACACGGAAACCCCCTACGCTCCGATTCCATAAGGTATCCCGAACCACGGAAACCTCTGTAAACCTGAAGTTTCCCGAACATCCATGTAGTTTCCCGTAATGGGAAACCTAAAGATTCCACTGGTTTCCAGAATCAGGAAACTTGATGGAATCGGAGCGTAGGGGGTTTCCATGGAATGGAAACTTGGTGGAATCTTTAGGTTTCCTTTTACGGGAAACTACATGGAAGCTCGGGAAACCTCACCATTCCTATAGTTTCCGTGACTCAGGAAACCATATGGAATCGGAGCGTAGTGGTTTCCGTGGGATGGAAACTTGGTGGAATCTTAAGGTTTCCTTTTTAAGGAAACTACATGGAAGCTTGGGAAACCTCATGATTCCTAAAGTTTCCGTGACTCAGGAAACCACAGGGAATCGGAGTGTAGTGGTTTCCGTGGAATGGAAACTTGATGGAATCTTAAGGTTTCCTATTACGGGAAACTACATGGAACCTCGTGAAACCTTACGATTCCTAAAGTTTCCTTGACTCAGGAAACTATATGGAACTTGTGTAGCAGTTTCTGTGTGGCGGAAACTTGGTGGAATTATCTGGAGTCCCATTCCTGGTTGAAGTTACTGGGAAACTTCAAGATTCCCCAACTTTTCTTAAGGAAGCGATGTGAAATTATGTGTATTCTTTCAAAAATCTATCAAAAAAATTATTAAATGTAAGAGAAAAAAAGCATTACCATTTTATATGTTTAATAATTCATTTGATGTACAAAAACTGTAACAGTGTTTTTCATTGATATCAAAATACTAAATAAATTCATGTATCTTAGATAAAGAATGGAACAGTCTTTCACATTTAAGTCCATTCATAAGCGTCATTAAGTACTTCTTTCAACATCAGTTCCCTGGTATTTCCTTCACATCACCTATGATCTGCAATATTCATACAAAATTATCATATGATGTGTCAGAATTATAATGCTTGAATATAACTTAGAAATCTGAAAGATCAGTCAATGTTCTTTAATATACCAATATCAATAATTACTTTCCATGACCATGATACATATGATTTCAGCATTTAATGTGTCTCTTTAAAATTTAATGCTTTATGATAAGGAAAAATTTTTTACATAATATAAATAATGTTTTCAGCCTCATTATGTCATTGAGAATATATTACAATTTCATAGAACCCTGCTTTAAGTTGAATTAGTTTGAGAGAAAATATACTCTTTATAATAACAAAAATATTAATAGAGAGAGAATTTTTTAAAATTTTTGATATTTGACCTAAAAAATTGGTTGAAGATCATTGCAGACCCTCCACACCAATTGCATAAAAGCTAGATTACACCAAGGGAGAAATATACTCTGGACTACGACTTTGAATAAAGATATACAGTACATTTTGATACTGACCTTTGACCTAGAAAATTAGTCCAAGGTCACTCTTCATCCTCTATCCACAGGCTCTCTGTAGTTTAAGTTTGAGAGAGAAATATGCTCAGAACAAGTGATATCAGATGGCATGATGGGAAGACACACTGACTGTTTAAGGGCATCCACAGAACAGGTCTCTAAAAACAATGCAATATATATGTATTACAGTATGGATATACATGTACTTGTATGTTAATGATTTATCATATGCTGCATTGGACACATATGCTTTTATCATGGTGTAAGTATACATGTATCTTATGAGTAATTTTATGCCAGTATTGCATGTACACTCAGTTTATAAACAAGTAATTTAAATTTTTTTTTTACAAAAATTGACCAACATTATTTACATCCACTCATCATGTTCATGAATCGGTGGATCAAAATTCAGTCAGTTTTAGATCTCTATGATATACCATAGACAACTTTCACATTTACAAAAGTTATTCCCCTTTGCAGGGTCAATCTGGGGTCAATCGGCTTAAAGGGGGAGGAAATAAGCACCTCCTTCAAATTTACCTGGTCTTAGAACCTCTGTCAATCATCTGAAATTAAGCCTGGGATTGGATACTTTGATTTGATTGACATTTAGCTTGCTGCTGTTGTGTATATCTTGTGTACCATGTCTGGAGATCGTACCGACCATCGAATTAACTTTCAGGCTTTTGATGCCTACCGCACTGTATGCCAACGTGATAAAGAAGCAATCAAATCGTTCTTTTTTTAATTCATAAGAATAGTCATAAATATAATCAATCTATCAAATTATTAAATAAATGACAAGAAAATCATGGCTATATATATAATATATTATAAATTTAATTTTAAAAGGGAGGATTTCATATCACGATTACTATTTTAATTTCCGTGTCAAAACATGAGTTAACGTACATTGATTCCTCCATTAATGAACAAAATAAACCGACCTGTGTTTGAAGCTTGTGTCATGGAATTAAATAAAATATTTTTTAAAACAAGTATGACAACATTGTAACATTGTTCATGAGTCAAGCGAATTTATATTTATAAGACAATCCTGGTACGTGTCGCTTTTCTTCGAGACATGGTGACGAAGTAACCTGTTACGGTATAATAATAAGTTTTAGAAGAGAAATTACTCGGAATATAACATCTTGCTTTGTATTTAATGTTTGAAATTAATAATGAATCCCGAAAGAAAAAAAAAACATGCAGATTATTCTTTTCCCGTTTCATAGCTGTCGGGGAATCAGCCCGGGCCATTTTTACCGACTTACGTTATGGAAAAATCAAGTAGGGTTTAGAAAAAGATATTTATAGACAATAATATTTCTACTTCAACATTTTATTCTCAAAACATCGTTTCTATGTTTCATTGTTATTTACCGAGAGACTGTTTTATGATTCACTTTCTTCTTTCGTTTTGCGTAGATGACGTGTAATTTGAATTACTTCCCTTTTTGTCGCCAGATTACAACGACAGATTATAGTGCTAAATGTATTTTCGTTATAACACTTTATTAAGAAACACACTGTATATAAAAAATGTCGAATTATTAAAAATATCAGTTATTTTAAAAGAAAGAAATTGAGAGAGATTCTGTCTGCAACAAAAAAATGCTTTATTTCGCATTTCAATTCATGAGCTAAACATAAAAAAAACGGCCTCGGTTTACAAAGTCGTAGGAAAACGCATACAGGTAATACACTCAGGGGCTCAGGTAACACCCTGTGTATATAGGTAGTATACACAAGCCAGCGTCGTTTAGTGTGGGCTTTCAGCCGCTTCGATTAAGCTCCACCCCACACCAAACTTACCTGAGGAAAACCGTACGGTTGAAAACCTCGGCCTTTAAGACGCTGTTTTCCCTCTATATAACCGTACCAACTTTGAGGGTCAATATCTTGGAAGTGAAATCTGTATGAACATGTTCATTATGATTTTCATGTTACCCCATATTGGCCATACAGATACAGATCGACAATAGTTTTATTGAAAAAATACAAGTAACTTACAAAGGACAAAGTGAGAAAAATGAGCGATACACCGACAATTGGAGACAACTCTTAGCAATGTGAAATTTGTCTATTGGTGAATAGATGACAATTCCTGTTTTAATGTCACTGAAAAATTAAGAGACATTAAAAATTTAAGCCCGATTGTCATGCATGCATGCTGTTTTTTTCAACCAAACTATAAATTACAATTGCTTGTAATTGAAAGATGGATCCATTACACATTGCACCCCATTACTTTGAAAAAATGTAATGATTACAATGCATTACCATTACACATTACCATTACCCCAGGTCTGTTTTCAACCACATAACCTTTTACTATCATAAAATTTACCAAAATTTAATACTTCAAATAATTTCATTGAATACATGTATCTAAAAAATTGAGGAAACTCTAAAAACTTAGTGTCAGACTTACAGAAATTAATCTTTGGAGAGAAAAAAACCTATCACATAAAGATGTGCATAATGAGCCTTTTTTTATTCATTTAGAACATATCGTATGTGCATCATTTCCCCAAGAAATTTTCAAAGACAATGGACTATTTGTGAGCAGAAATCATTGCTGTTTACTTAATACATTTGGAAAATTTATGAAAATAATCAAATAATTTCTTTATTTTTGATTTTAGATAATGCTAAAAATTATTTAATCTCTTATAAGTAATCCAACTGACTGTAAAATAAAATTTTTCTTAATCTCAATCTAAGGGCAGATCACTCTAACTGCATAAAACTACCCAATATCAAAGTAGAGCTCTTTAGTGTGCAGATTTTAGAGCTTCCTTAAAGTCATCAAAATACTGACCAGCAAGAAATCAGTTAATAACATTTCCTCTTTTTCATTCAAATTTTTTGAGAGATCTCAAAGTTTTTTCCTCTTCAATTCAGGTTCGAGATGACAAAGTTTTACTGTAGTGTATGTATTAGAGAACTGATTGTATGTCAATCACGACAATACATACATAACATGGAGGGGGGCAAATTGTTTCAGCCCTAGCTTTTACATAAAACTTCTTGTAGCTCACAGCTGATAAACCACAGCTCAGTATTTAAAATTTAGAATCTTTTTTTTTTTTTTCAGGCAATTGTTATACATACCAATCATGATTTAATTACCACTTACCAAATGACCACATCCTGAATCATCATACATTTTATATGATTTTATCTCACTGGTTTTCTTTTAAAGTCATGCAGTTTTCTTCTCTCTGAAATGATAAAATATGTTAAGGTACTATTGCATTCTAATTTAAACTAATTATGTAATAGCATTAGCAACAACAGGGATGGGCAAAAAAAAAAAAAAAAACAAGATGCGCTTGTAAAACACTATGTGCCCGGCGGCAACAAAGTTTCGAAAAAGCAATTTTTTTAGCATATAGGTCACAGTCAAGATCACATAATCATCGTCCTTGTTGTCACGTGAAAGCACTTCATAAGTGGAGTATGCATACTAAATATGATGTCACTATCTCATATAGTTCTAAAGTTATGGTGAAGGTTTAAGTTGACAACAGGCAGACACTGAGATAAACAGTTATGGCAAAAGTTCGAAAAAGCTATTTTAACATATAATCACAGTCAAAGTCACAAGGTCATTGACCTTGTTGCATTTCAAAGAACTTAATTATCATAGTATGCATACCAAATATGAAGTCTCTATCTCTCACAGTTCAAAAGTCATGGCAATGGTTCAAGTTGACAACAGACAGAAAGGACAAAATCAATACACGTGCCGAGTCTATCAATTCAGGCGTATAAAAATTTCAAACAAATGAGCATCAACTAGTTTGTACCATTCTACTTCTCCTATGTCAGGACAACCATCACTAATTTACTATTTCATCCAAGTCTTTTTTTCAAAATATTTAATCTAATGCAATAGCTCACCAGCAGAATATGATATTGTGCTCGACTCATTGTTTGCCTGCACCACAGTTATGTAGAATGTGGCGTATGTTATAAACTTATAATTATATTCAGATATAAGAAGCATGTTATTTTTTATGACAGCTAAGTCTGTTCAGTTAGACAATACCATGTACACTGTACATGTATGTAAGTAGTTTAATTGTGCTTGATTATTTACTTATTTTCTTCTCAACTTAAAGCTGAACACAACTCGTAAATAGGCATACGCCATTTTCAATAGCATTATCTACGATACATCAATACTAGGGTATACTCGTTGCAATCGTTACACCTGACTGCTTTATTGTCACGGGTATTGGCGTGGAATAGCAACCCGTGATCGTGCTGGTTATCTTGCATTACCTTTTTTTACATTTTATTGCAGTTACGTTTATCTGTGTTTTTTGTATATTTTACTGACTTATAAAACTATAATTATTATAAACTTATTTGGTATCTTATTTTCCTGCATTAGATGAAGTATTACGTTATTACTTTCGCTACCGAGTTCTTCTGTATAGCATACGTCCATCTTCACCAGTGTAGACTGATTACACTGAACAGTGACCAACTGCTGCCCTATTTATAGCGGTCTGCAGAGAAGATAGACTCGGGAACAAAAATGGCGGACAGATTCCTTTTACGAATCGTATTCAGCTTTAAAGTGTTCTGTATTTTATTATCAAGTTTGTAATAAGCATTTTGAAACATACTATCAATATTAATTCACTATGAAGGCTTAATTTTCTTTTTTTACATCTTCATCTCAGCAGGTTAGACAGTACAAAAAAATCTTTTGAGCAGTAAACTATTTCAATAAACAAACCTATTCTCTTCAGAGAAGTGGACAGGCTTTCACCTACATTCACTTTTTTATGTATATTTTCCCTCCATATCATCTCATGCATATGATTAAGGGTTATGCTACAGTATTGGCTACAATCTATTCCAAATGTTCTGAATGATGATATCCTTCATGATAATCGGATAAGCTGAGATTGAAGACACTTTTTGTAAAAATATTGATGCTTTTATCAAGGTTTTGAACCAAAAGTATTTCATTCATACCTTGCCATAAGTCATAAGTTCCAAAAATCAAAAGAGTTGGCTATCCGAAAACGGAAAGTCAGAAGAAAACACATGTATGTATTCAAACCGGATGTACTACAGTCTGAATTTAACTACGAAACCATGCTCGGTATAACTATTATCATCCGGATAATTTGAGCGGGGTTAAAAATATATTTTTGTTTAAATCCGAAAAGTATTCATTTATATTTAGAGAGAGAACATACATATTGAGCATACATTTTAATAAACATGGTGAAAGGCGAAACGTTGCCATTTTACAACATACGGTGCCTTGGGACCTCTATAATCTATTTAAGTTATGTTGTATCACTGTCTCAAATCTCTCTCTCTCTCTCTCTCTCTCTCTTGCAATATATGCACTTAACAATTTAAAACTTAGATATCCAACTTTTTAAAATGGCGTCAGAACAAAAGTTGCCTCCGATAGTGAAGATTTGTTGTTGCCAAATATTACAATTATTTGCCGTAAAAAGTTAACAAAAATATACGTACATTAATCCTTGGTCGTTGGTCATTGCATTTATCACAGTCTTAAAGACACTGGGTGGTGAAAACATCAACTTTTCACATTTACGAGCTGCTTACACCTTCTTCTTCGTCCTTCTCGATCCTCCAAAAATGGCGCCTCGGGAAATTGACCAATGAAATAAAGCGCCTGCAGAGCGATGCAGGATGGGAAAATAAACTGTTTACATTCACTATGATTATGTGTGATTATGAGATTTTATATTAGAATTTAGAAGTTTTCCCCTGTTCATGGAATAAAAAAAGGGGCTCCTATTAAAATATTTTTTGTCGATATGATGTGTAGGCCTAGTATATTTAGATAAAAAGCGGTTAAATACGTGAGAGCAGAGAAAAATAATGTTTCTTGTGTGACACCTCAACTTATTTGCCTTCGGGATGAGGGGTTCGGGGCTTGGTTGTTGGTTGTGGCCGTCCTTGCTGAAATTACCCCCCCCCCCCCTCCCCGCTACTTTTAACTGTTATAATTATGAATTTATAATGTCACATCAAAAGATGTTAAACCTTTAAAAGTACATTTTTTTAATTGCGAACGTTCCACAGGAATCCTTAAAGGCATGAAAATGAGTTACAATTATAATACATGTATATATAATTAACAATAACCGTCCTTATTTTTTTTTTATTTCAATAGTGATGATTGAAAAGTTCGGTGTTTAATAATTAATTGCTTATAATTTTTGGGGGGATTAAAATACTACTAGAACTCCCTCCTTTTCTGGTTTTAATTAGATTTTGAGCCTGCTATCAATATACTGTATTATTACTGGTGGACCCTCTAGACGTTTCTCTATTTGCTACATGTAGGCCTAAATTGTACTTGAAACTTCTTTGCCTTTAGCTAATAACTTTCCCACATCATTTTAACAAGTAAAATTGTTAAATGAATTAGGATGTTGAAAATCTTTTTTTAGGAGAGTTACATGTATCTCAAGATGGAATAAAACTTACATCTAATCAAAGACAACAAAATATAATAGTATTTTAATTCAGTATTTAGTCGTGATGGGTATAAGTGAGGTCATGGGAAAAATTATGTCAAAAGTCATCTAGATACTCGTTGATGTACAGGGCTGTACTTATGCATATACAGCTTTAGCTGGTCCCGCCCTGTATTTCTTTTAATGTTTTTTTTTTTCGTACAGGGCTGTACTTATGCATACAGCTTTAGCTGGTCCCGCCCTGTATTTCTTTTAATGTTTTTTTTTTCGTCATTAGCTTTACAGAAATCTGGTAAGGTATGCTAGTCGACATCAAAAAAAAAAAAAAAAATCCCGGTAAATTTATTACCCTAAAGGAAATTACTTTCCTACAGGCCTGAAGTTCGAGTCTATTAGTCAAATTTAAGAATGTCACGCATCTTTTTTAAAAAGAGTAGCATGTCGGGGAATAAAAATAAAGTAATGTACAATTTAGATAAAGAAAATTAATGTTTGTTGAAGTATTGACAAACTTCATACCTTTATATAATGAAATCAACAAAAACTGCACAAAAATACAATCGTGACAATTATACAATTAATTCTTTTAATAGATTGCCTCAAGTTAGCATCCACTACTTTAAAAGCCGTTGTTCTTCAGGAAAACAAAATGATGCAAAATATTATAGACTTTTCTTTATCTAGAGAAATGGCCTTTGGAGAAAAGAATGGCTGAAATTTTTAAAGTTTGTTAAATATATGTGCATGATCATATGTGCATTTAGGACCCTACATTGTAATTTTATGCGAAAAGTGCAGACGTTTACTACACGGGGATCTGCGTACATATAAACAAAAAAGGAAAAAAAAAGTTTTATGTAATGAATATTATAACATTATTTAATAAATGCCTTTGTATAGTACGTTGGATTACAAATTTCACACAAAACTCATCAAGACTATTAAATACAGTGTTGATTTCACATTGATCTATTAAGTAATTCTGATTTAATATAATTATACACGACGAGAATTTAGATCTAATCAATACCTATAGAAAATTATTTAATTTCTAAAGTCTGAGCATAGTTTTTTTCAAATCAGTAATGAAAATTGAAATAAAAATTCTAAATAGTTCGTTCTTTCATTGAACATCTTAAAATAAATGTATGTTATTTTATAAATATGTTCTCTTGTATAACTTTATTTATGAAATATACAATTTTTTAATTGATAAAAAAACACAAATCGTCATCTTAATTCAAACGAATTTTCGATCGGAGGCTGTGTGTGTACATGCTCGACAACAGCCCATTGTTCCCTTTAGGTAGAAAACCGTCTCAATTCACATAGAATATACAAAAAATACACAGTGACAGGTGTCTTCGCGGCACGTGTCTCCACCTGATATGGCACGTGAGGACAGGTGCCCGTAGTTATTACACAGGCCGACTATAGTGATTTTTTCAAGTGTGGTTTTATTTTTTTTTGAAGGGGGGGGGGGGGGGGGCTTCTCTAGGAAAAAATGAAAAGCAATCCACCCACCCCAATAATAATAATAATTTATTAAATTAAAAGAAACACAATCTTACTAAAGTAAAATACTAGTATGATAATACTCAGCCCCCAACCAATTCGATGGATTTTATCTGACCAGTTTACATTGATCTCTATGTAACCATACTTACTCTTCTATATTTTGTTTTTTTAAAGGTCAGACGATACGTTTCCCATTAAGTATCTGTTTTGTGAATCTTCATATTAATGTATAATAAATTTGTATAAAAATCTTTATTACTTTCTAAACTGGTTTTTAATAATTTGAAACACTAAAAATGTAATTGTGACAAACCAACTGAAGAATTTTTTCCTGAAGGATTACCCCGGTATATAAGAGATGCCAACCTCTGGTATCTCACACAAAATGCCTTGTAAGGTACCTTGAGTTTTTGTGAATACATGTTATAATGTAAAAAAAGTAAGTCTTCAATGTCAAAATATTGGAAAAAATTATAATTATATTATTGAGGAACTTCTCATCTGTCCTTAATCACTACATTTTATATAATCGCAACTTGACATATTTCTTTATTTACTTTTTTATCGATCGTTTTACCTTTTCTGTAAATAATATCATTAAAGGTGCCCTTCGCTCTTGCGTTTTTTTCAAAGGAACATTCAACATAGACAGCTTACAAGAAAGTGGGATCGGAAATGATTGATATCTACATAACTGCACTTAATTTTCTCTATTCCATTTCATGCATTCTATACGAGTTTACCAAAACTTATTTGATAAATTTTTAATATTAAATTGCGTTCACGGCGGTGCTGAAATATTATATCTTATCACGCAGAAATACACATCTAGTTATTTTAACTGTTTGAAGGGAAGTTAATTATTTTGATACAGCATGTAAACACTTTTGAAATATTTCTATAATTGGTAAGCATGTGGTAACATCAGAAAATATTTAACTTTTTGTAAAATAAAAAGTAGGTGGATTACCATTGAGATATACTTTCAAAGTTTCTCTACCTGGGAAACATGGGGGAAACTACACATTGGTGGCTTCCATGTCGGGAATCTATATGGAAACCACTGAGGCATGTTTCCATGGTTTCCTATCTTGGGAAACTAACGGGAAACCACAGGTTGGTTGTTTCCATGTCGGGAATCTACATGGAAACCACCAGGGCATGTTTCCATGGTTTCCTATCTTGGGAAACTAACGGGAAACCACAGGTTGGTTGTTTCCATGTCGGGAATCTACATGGAAACCACCAGGGCATGTTTCCATGGTTTCCTATCTTGGGAAACTTACGGGAAACCACAGGTTGATTGTTTCCATGTCGGGAATCTATGTGGAAACCACTATGTGGTTTCCATAAAATTGAAACTATATGGAAACTACTGATGTCACGATTCCCATATGTTTCCATCGGGTTTCCAAATTTGGGAAACCTGGCTTTTCATCCTGTGTTAAATACATAATTAGTCATGAAAATATAAACAGTCATGTAATGGTGAATTATATATACACAATAATAATTCAATTATTATGTATTAAGTTTCTTCAGCTTTGATAAATGTTGTACGATATTTTTTTTTTTACAATTAATGTTGATTGGAAACAATGCTTTTGTATGTTGATTGTTGATGCTGATATTAAATCGGTTCCATGTTGACAGGGATGATCCTAACAACTGCGATGCCTCAGCGGTAACATCAGTCAACCTCAAAACCAACGACCAAAAATTTGGCACTCACATTGGAAATATGTCTAATCCTCTCTTTTTGGAAATAGATAATTGGGTGAGTTAAAATGATTATTAAAGATTCTATATAAAAAAAAGTTTCAATTTCATTTTCAAAAGTGACGAGACCATTCTTCAAGCGATAGCAACGTAAATTGCTAATGCTTGTGTTACTACCTTGTATTCTGAATCAACGATCCGTACATAGAAAAAAACTGCTTCTAGATAAAACGGCTTTAATTAAAAGGGTGGGTGGTTGTAGCGCTTTCACAGAGTGTATTATATTTTGAAATGAATTCAAATTATACATGTATACGCAGGAAGTACACTGAAAGAAAAACCTATGAATTTAACTAGTGTGCCTCGTAAAGCGTTGGTCGTAATTAGTAAACTTCCATTTTACTAGTTAAGATAGTGATTTGTGGAGCGGGGTTCGTATAGATACTTAGACACCTAGTGAAAGTTACTTATCAATTCTAAATTTACTAATCTTATCTAGTATAAATATACCAATATCTGGTAAATCTACTTTTAAGGTAGTGATTGTATGGACAGTAAATTTACTAGTTTTCTTCGTAACTTTAACTAGTTATTTTTTTTACAGTGTATTTCATTTGTTATCGGATAAAAATTTGTTTTGGCTTTTAAAATGAAATTTGTACCCCTCTTGCCACAGTGACTACACGTGTACCTTCCCCCAAATCACCACAACAGAAAATAAAAGTATTCTGGTCTTTAAAATTGGATCCGCATACATGTATGGACATGTATATTTTTGTAATAGGCCCAATGGACGAGTCAATGGTTATGATCTTATGAAAAGAGCGCAAAGAACGTACAACACTGAAAGGTTTTTGGTATCATATTAAAACCTAAAAAGCTCAAATTATGGATATCTCAGTTGAAACTTTAAAAACATAAATTCCATGCATAACTCAAAATTTTGACACTTCACCTTGAGCAGATGAAGTTTCTAGATGAATGATTTTTTTTTCGAATGACCGTTGATAGCGACAACAACACATTGTTATATCCAAGCACTCAATCATACACCTACGTGAATAGAAAGACTTCTTTAAGCATCAAAATTTGAACGCAAATCTTTATCTCAAAGCTTTTTTGTGTTAAGACATAATATCAACATACAAAGTTTTCTTTCATTAATCAAGAAATTAACAGCTGTAATCGTTGATACCTAACTATTAAGATATACTTTGAAATCACTAATTTTCACTGGGGCCTAATTTTCGTTGTTTTCGAGGTATGGACAAATCCACGAATTCATGAACACCACAATCAGTTAACTTTTATATGCATTACTACTAAACCAACCACGAAATCAAATCCCCTCAAACCTAAAAAATTTGACCCCACGAAAATAAAGGATTTTAAAGTAACACAGACTTATACTCATCACTTTATCAAGATCCCTACCCAATCCCAAAAGACTACCAGATGATGGTCCCATGCCCTCACTTCTCTTACTCTGTCAAAAAAATGTTTATTTCGTTCTTTAGGATAAGTATAAGTCAAGGTTCCAAATAATAGTCCACGACATGGGACCAACAGACACGCCCCTTATTTACCAGGCCCAGTTTTCTGATTTCTCTGTGATTGTTGGAACGGATGAACTAAGTAAAGTTTGGAGAGCAAAGACGTTAAAGGCAAGTTGGATCTCCTCCAACAATGCTTTCAGGTAAATGGACGCTTGTTCACGAATTATTCTATATATGTTAGTACAAAGGCGACGCATTGCACATAAAAAAAAATTATAAAAACATTGATGAACTTTAACAAGATCGCACTATATGAGCCCATAATGAAAAAAACATCATCCGTATCTTTATTAAACGATTTGCTATATGGTTTTTTTCTGTTTGACAATTTTTTTCCTATCCTATTTCTGTACTTCTTGAAAAACTAGCATAAATCGCTATTCATGAGAGACGAGTGTTTCTAATCGCTATTCATGAGAGACGAGTGTTTCTAAAATCTTGTCCCCAAAAGGAAAACGGTTTTGCTTTATTATACGGACACCTGCGTGAAATATGACACCTTGATAAATAACATTTTTTTTCTTTTATATAGATTACACATATCATATAAGCTCTACTGTTCCTCTGGCTTTTATGGACCAAACTGTGATATCTCATGCCCTCGAAACCCCAACAAATGCGTGCATGATGGAAAAACTTACTGTAAGACAGGTACCTGATTTCCTTTAAATCTTTAAATGCTCATCAGAAAAATATGTAAAATGTATGCTGTTTTATTTCGAATTCATTTCCGTCGTTTAATGATTTTTCTTCGACAATTATTCAATTACAGAACTCTTTGTATATCCTATATATGTACTGATATTATCCTTTGATAATGACATCTACAGTTAGTATTGAAACATAGCAAAAGTGTAATTTTTAATTGAAAGTCTTTTAAGAGAAGGACTACCATTATTATAGACTTTATGTGTGGTTAGTAGACCCTAGACATATTTCAAACACTTTTGTCCCTTTTGTAATAGGATGGAACGGTACAAACTGCGATCAGGACATTGTGGAGTGTAATGACCCAGGCTTTTGTCATTATGGGCGTTGCGTGAATACTATTGGAGGATATTACTGCGAATGTCCTGATGGACTGACGGGTACCCAATGCAGGTTAGATGACGATGAATGCTTCTTTGAACCCTGTAATGGAGGATCCTGTCTGAATACCCTGGGCTCCTTTTCTTGTTCATGTCCAGGTGAAACAACGGGCAAAACTTGTGACCAACTGATTGCTAGCAGGTGTTCAGATTCAACATGCCATGGTAACGGAACATGTAAAATGATATCCAATGGTAACAGTACGCATGCACAGTGCAAGTGCAATTTCGGTTACATGGGAGCAGATTGTCGACACCGAGATTATTGTAGTATTCACGGTTGCATTAATGGTGGTACTTGTGTTAATACTGCTGACTCATCTTTTTGTGTTTGTCAGACTGGTTTCTCGGGTAAAGATTGTGAACTGCATGACTACTGTTCGAGTTATCCTTGCAGCCATTCAGGAACGTGCACAAACATCTACAACGGTTTTCAATGCGACTGCGCCAAGGGGTATTCCGGTGTAACATGTGATGTTCGTGACTTTTGTCAAAATCAAAACTGCAGTAATCACGGCGAATGCTTTAATGGACATTCAGATTTTCATTGTGTATGTGAAAATGGTTTCTCGGGAAAAGAATGTGAGCAGATCGACTTTTGTTTTAACGCGACCTGTCCGCCGGCTCAGAAATGTGTTAATGGCAAAAGTGGATATTCATGCGTTTGTGCGGGTGGATTAACCGGAGACAAATGTGACAAATTGGATCGATGTTACTTTGACCCCTGTCATAGTCATGGAATATGTTCAAATACAGATTCTGGTTTTACCTGCAATTGTGAAGGCGGTTGGACTCTAGCAGACTGTAGCAAAATCGACTATTGTTATGTAGATCCGTGTATACATGGTAACTGTACAGACTTGGCCAAGGAATTTCAATGCACATGTGAGGAAGGATGGGTTGGAAAAAAATGCAATGACACAGACTTTTGCTTAAGTGATCCGTGCTACCACAACGGCACATGTTCAAATAAGATTAATACTTTTGAATGTCTGTGCCCAACAGGATGGACGGGAAAAAGATGTGAATTGGTTGATGATTGTTTGAGTACTCCATGTCATAATAACGGGAGTTGCTCAGTGGATAACAAAGGATTTCACTGCGCATGCTTATCTCGTTGGACAGGTCCAACATGTCTCGAAATAGATTTTTGCTCGGGAGATCCGTGTCAAAATGATGGAACTTGTATAAATGGATTAACTGGGTATTTCTGTCAATGTCCTGATCGTTTTACAGGAGCAAATTGTGAGACAAATGCCTGTGTCAATGAGACCTGCAGTGGGCAGGGGTCTTGTAAGGCATTTGGTGGGGGGTATATTTGCGAATGTGATGATGGGTTCGTAGGATACGACTGTGAATACACAGACCCATGCAAAACATTAAAGTGTTTAAATGGCGGAAACTGTACGGTATTACAACATAATTATACAACCTCCACCTCTTTATATTTCAACTACACAGCAGCATGTATCTGTCCTTTCACATGGAAGGGTGAAAGATGCGAGGAAGATGTTGACGAGTGTCTCATTAAATCAACATGTGGAAGGCATGGACATTGTTCAAACAGTAAAGGGGATTTCACCTGTTTCTGTGATCCTGGTTATGAGGGCAAACATTGCGAGAAAGATATTAATGAATGTGCCTCCATGCCCTGTAAAAATAATGGTACTTGCGAGAATAAAGATGGTAATTTCCTTTGTCGATGCGATCAATTTTGGACGGGAACGACTTGTGATCAAGACATTGACGAATGCAGGTACCATCCGTGTGAAAACCAAGGAATATGTAATAATTTTCCGGGAAATTACTCATGCACTTGTGGAAAATTCTGGATGGGTAGGCATTGCGAAAAACATATTGATGCATGTCATGCGCAGCCATGCAAAAACGGTGCAACATGTATTGACTTAGACACCACCTTTTATTGCAAATGTGATTCAAGATTCACAGGTCGTCATTGTGATGTTGATGTTAACGAATGCCTAACACAATACCCATGTCAGCATGGGGGTACATGTGTCAATACTGTAGGGGGATTCAACTGCAATTGCACATCCTACTGGGAAGGACCACATTGCGAAGAAGACTTCGATGAATGTTCCTCAAGTGTTTGTCCTAATGATACCGCATGTGTGAACAAGCGCGAAGGATATGAATGTCAGGATTGTTCCCTATTCTCATGTTATCATCATGGTACATGTATAGATTCCCCTGTGTCTGGTCCAAAATGCCAGTGTCCGCGAGATTGGACTGGAGATCATTGTGAACAGCGAGATTTTTGTCGTTTCGACCCATGTGGTCCCCTTCAAGTGTGTAAAAATACTGAACATGCTTACATCTGTGACTATCACCCATGTTTGAGTTCTCCTTGCCATAATAATGGTACCTGTGTTGAGGTTCGAAGTGACATTCGCTGCGATTGCACAAAAGGTTGGATGGGTGATCTTTGTCAAGTAAAAGACTATTGTGCCAGCAATCCTTGCGTTCACAATGGCACTTGTCAAAATCTTGCAGATGGTTTCAAATGCACCTGTCCACCTGATTGGTTAGGAGATACATGTTCTGTTTACGACTATTGTTATTCTAAACCATGTTTGAATGATGGAGTCTGTGCAATCAGACCGAACACATTTCAGTGCTTGTGCCATCAACAATGGATGGGAAAAAAATGTGATGTTCGAAATTACTGCTATGAAATGCCATGTGAGAACCAGGGGATATGCACCAATACAAACTCTTCCTTTAATTGCTTGTGCTCAAGAGAATGGATAAGTCATAACTGCAGTGTCTATAATTATTGTTTTAATCAACCATGCAAGAATGGTGCCACATGTAAAAACATGCCTTCAAATTTTACTTGTACATGTCAACCCGGGTATACAGGTCGACACTGTGAAACAGCGATCGACTATTGTGCTTCAACGCCATGTCAAAATAACGGGACCTGTGTGAATTCTCCATATGGCTATTTTTGTACATGCGCAGCAGGCTTTGTCGGACATAATTGCCAAACCGACCTTGATGAATGCAAAATTGACATGTGTCCGGCTAAATCATCCTGCTTCAATTATCATGGGGGATACACCTGTATATGGGCTTCCCAAACAGCTAGGATAAAACGAAATTCATTAGGTAAGGATAAGTTATTTATAAGAAAAATCCACATAGGAAAACTTATTTATATAAAGTTGAACTTCGGTATCTAAAAAACTGATATCTCAAATACCATTAATATGTCGAAGTTTTTTTTTTTTAAATCCCAACAAATATTCATGTTTTTCTTGTTCCGATCAGGTTCAATGTAGAGTTTTTGGCTGTATAAATACATGTAAAACGGAAAGATAGGCAGACACAAGAAAACAAGATTACCGATATATAATCTTGCTGTTTGGTTGCAGTTATTTTCTGTTTTTAGAAATGGCATCCTTGAAGGTGACAGTGCCGATAGAATGGGAACACGGAAGTTACGTAGCCTTGGTGACACGTATACAAAGTACTCTGGATTCTTCTGTATGCTCAAAGGAAACGGAAGTAGAACCGGAAAAGTATAAAATAAACTACATGTGAGTTTTTGATTTTTATCAGTTATATATAGTCATAAAAGAAATAACTGAGAATTGCAATGGATATAAAGTTAACTTTTTCCAAATAAAAAAAAAATGATAACAAAGATCAGAAGTAAACAAAAATCGGCTGAAAATAAATGCCCTCTTCATAATTCATTTTCACTGTTTTACAAAATGTAAAGCATTATACAATAAACTACTGAATATACAAATATTTTATATTTACACGAAAATACTTCATTTACAAATTACACCCTATAGCTATTTACTGTAACTGCAATATTTTAAAAAATAACTTATATGTAGAAGCACATATAGAATTCTTGCGTACCATATAGATCATCCAACTCAATTAATAACGATAACAATAGCCTGCAATACCTGGCCGATTTTTAAAAGATAAAAAAAATTTGTTAAAGTATGAAAAAATGATCGATTTTTGTTTTTTTTAAGTCAGCTCTGCGTATGCTTTTTCATAAGCAAATATTTTCGGTCTTTGTGAGATTTTTGTAAATTAGAGAGATTTTACATTAAGTACATGTATACTTTAATATTAGAGGAAATATGAAGTAAATTTTGGATATAACTGATGTTAAATTTTTCCCTTCTTATCTGTCGCGCTATAGGCATTCTGTCCGCCTTATCCCCTCATCTTCTTTATGAAAAAATATAACATAGATCACGAGGGAAAGAATTCGCAGAATGAAATGTAAAATCAGCAATATTACGCTAACAAAAAAGCTATTTATGGCGAGCTCAACCTTCAAGAACATTGTTTCACTTCCTCCCAGATTTTTTATTTAAAAAAAAATGTTTTTATAGTATTATTTCTGCTTCGTATGACAAACTTTTCCCCCCTTATTTTGCAGATCCAGACAGGTTGCCTTTTCATTTAAAGCAAATTGTTATGGAGAAAACATTGACATCTCAGAAGCGGAAAAGGTCATACGTAATCTGATATCATCATAGAAATACATCTGGTGTACCTTATGATTGATGAGGACTTAAAATGCAAAGAAGGGAATTGCAATATTTCAAGAAAAAGAAAATTGGCCGTCTTGTGTAAAGACTGTGACTTCTTTTTTATCATTGATCTAAGGTAATATGGGAAATTGACTTTCATTTTTTATATAAACTTGAGGCATTTAATAAAGGAGCTAAGGGGGGGGGGGGGGCTACTCGGTTCCGCGATGAACTGCAAGAGAGAGATATTCTTACAAGAAATTAGCTTTCTAGAAAAATATTATGTTATCCTCATCGGCAAATAATTTATAATTTCCAAAAACTTGTTGTCTATCCTAAGTTTACAGTGTACATATAATTTGGTTGCGTTTTACTTCAGATATATGAAGATGTGTTACACAAGTTTATTTTTTATACACGTTTGGTTAGGATAAGAGAATTTGCTTGCATTTTCATTGACTTTATGCTTTTTCCTTTTAAAGAGATTTCACCACCAATTTTTTTTCTTCCTTCATTTATTTTGATTAATTAAATTATTTCCTAATTGATTATGCTTTGTTTTTTAATTTCTCTTGTCTGTTAGAGTTTTTATTTGTGTGTTTAAATTTTTTTTGTTTTTTATTTAGTTGTGTATCATATATATAATAGTGATGTGTTTTGCATGCACTTTGTATAAATAGTAGTCAGGGTTTGACACATGGTGCACGAGCCGGAGGCGAGTGTCAAACCCTGACTACTATATACGCATAGTGCATGCAAAATACAACACTATTGTTATTAATTTGCTTACTGTTGCATAAGAACGACATTATTTTCTCCAATCCCGATGTTTCATCATTGTATGCGCATCAAATGTAACCATTACATATGATTTTTTTAAATATAAAAAGTAAACTCTATATACTACATGAATGTGACGATTGAAAGATGTTTTATTCATTTAGATGAACATAAACATTTATTAAGTAAAGTCCACATAGGAGAGACTAGTACGATATATTTGACGTTTTCCTTTCATTTAAAACGATTTTGATATTTGATGTGCCACGTAAACGTCAGAACCAGCACCGTTGAAAAAACAGGAAATTTCGCCGTCTGCAACAAGCGTTGATCCGCGTTTTCCTGACGTTAAATATCGAAATTGTGAAAAAAAAACCTGGAAAACACCAGATATTTTGGACTAAGGAGAAGGACCCCCCTGGAAGTGCAGGTTTACATGTATGATAAGCAAGAAGGTCTTCATTCAATACAATTTATTTTAACACAACCATTTACCCTTCCTTCCTACGAAGAATCGGGTCTGGAGAGAAGGGGGGGGGGGTTTAGACCTATAGGCTATACGCCCGATTGTTCAATGCATATACATAATATTTTATTATGACTGTCTTCCTTTACAAAAAGTAGCTCACCCTACTCCTTTTCCGACCCCGATTGTTCAATGCATATACATAATATTTTATTATGACTGTCTTCCTTTACAAAAAGTATTGTTCATCATACTCGGGACCCTGCTCCTCTACCCCCCCCCCCCCACTACACACACACACACACACCCTCTCACGCACACACACTTTTTATTGTCCCCCGCTTTGGTTTAGCAGCTGATCCTTCGCCAAGCGCATATTTCACAAGTGTATTTCACTTTGAAGTTTAAAAGTCTTTAACTTTTAGTCATATCTGAGACCATATTTCAAATATATAGCGACCTTTTCATTGGATACCAACCTCGACCTTGACCATGGAGACGTACTTATAAAAAACTTTAACCTTGACCATAACTTTTGAACGGTAAGAACTAGGGTTTTCATATTTCACATATGTAATCCTTGTAAGAAGACCTTTCATTAGATACCATGAACTTTGACCCTTTGACCTTGACCTTTGAGTAAGACTTTTTTTCCTTTGACCTGCACAATAATCTAATGCGGAGGCTAAATCATTATATATATGGCCATAACTTTTGTTGAACTTATATATTTTTGTGAAAAGACCTACACAACCTTGACCTTTTGACCTTGGTATAAAAAAAACTTTAACTTTGGCCATAACTTTTGAATGAAACCCTTCAATTGTTCAACAAAAATATTTGGATTTAAATTTTAAATAAATAACATGTGATAGGATTTTCATATTAGGCAAAATATGTCAGAAAAAATGACATATCACTTAAAAAGACATCGAAAGCGGGGGACCACAATTCCTTGAATTTGCTTGTTGCTTTTGAAACCTATCTTCAATTATTTAATCAAATATAATGTGAAATGTTATAATAATGCTTTATAAAGTCGAATACGCTGTAAGATTTACAAGCAAAATAATTTTACAAAGCCTTTGTGACATGACCCGGCGAGTTTTCCTTTGAAGTCAAGCATACTGTAAAAAAAATTGGTATGCAAATGAAAAAAGTATCTGCAAAATATCAACGATACAGTACGGTTTATTTTTAGCGATGACGGAAAACATATTCAGACACATCGTTCAATTTGCATGATAGCACTGTTAGTAATTACTCAAAATTTAGGTGGAATAAAATTTTTACATGAGTGTCGGATTCAAAAAATTTAGAAAAGAGGGAGTGGGGCAGATCAAAAAGGACTACCTTGACCCCCCCCTAAAAAAACCCATGAAAATCCACACACACACACACGTTACTTGTTGATAAATTAAAAAGATTATGTATATACTCTACTCACACACACACATTTTATTAAAAACAATTCTGTTTATTTCAATTTTGTATATGATTACAGGTTAGAGGATAAGCCGAAGCATTTTTGTTTCAAAAATATATATAAAAATGTTTTCAAATACTTAAATTAAAATAAAATGTGAAATATTATAACAAATCTAAATTAATTTTTTGGAAAACAAATTATATAATGCATCCCTCAAATAATTATTTTTAAAATAATAGTAAATAATTACCTGCAGGTCCACCTCACTCGGCATTTCAGTTGCGAATGCTTAAAATGGGATACTAAATCAACTTTCTGCTAAAATCATCTGATTGGTTGAGAGAAACAAATATGAATGTTTTACAAAGCATTTATTTACGATGCCAACTGTTAAACTTCCTTCATTATAATTTTTTTGCCAACTGTTAAACTTAATACATTAAAACTTTTTCCTATAGAAATTCTTTTTAAAAGTGCATGTCACGTTGCTTTAAAACTAAGCGCATTAAAAAAAAATCTCGAATCGGATGAAGAAGCACCCACGGAAATCATGTGAAAAGAAAAAACAATACCAACTAATTATTCATCGGAAGTTTTTTTAAAAAAATGTCAATTCGTCGTGTTTTTCGAGGTCAAAGTTTATATTAAGATTCATGCAAATAACGTCAAAGCTATAGACAGGTTTGCCTTTGTTCGATCGTGACTGCACTTTTCTTCCCTTAAAAAAAGTTATCGCAGTCATTCTTTTTTCCGTCTTGTAGTACTGCGAATCTACTTGAAATCGCTTAGGTAGCAGACGATAATAAAACGACCGAGGATTAGAATAAGGAGAAAGAGAAGGGGGAGAGATAGAAAGGATAAGTGGATTTTTATCTACCTTCGACAGGTAAGTTACAGGTAGATGGCAACACAGGTGTTTCGGATGCCCTGTTATCTGCTTGGGGTATATTCTGTGTTGACATCCCTCAGAAGCCATTTTGGTTCCGCTTGAGATGGGGGGATAGATTTTCACCTTTTTGTGTGTGTGTATCCGTTTGTTTAAAAAGTAGATGAAGAATGGATCATTTATTCACCCCCGCCACATTAAATTGGCCAGGTAACATTTTTTGATAATCTGAAAGACGTTTTTTCCATAAAAGTAAAAATGGCCATGTGCACTTGTAGTAGCTTATACATTGTAGTACATTGTACATGTACATATAGGTAGTAAAGTTGAAGGGCATATGAACCTTGTCCTAATTATATGTATACGTATATATTTTAGAATTATGTAAATTCCGTTTACCTGAAAGCTATTTTTTTAAACCAAAGCATTTTAAGGCAATATACATATTTTGAAAAGTTATTTTAAGAAAATATTTAAAGAATTTTGAGGTAATACGCATATTCTTTGAAAGTTTTAGTTTTCTTTCTAATGTAAAATCTTTTAGATCTGAATATTTTACAGTTTGAAAATTGAGGAAGTTTTTTTTTCAGAATTAGATACTCTAGATCCGTCTGATTTCTCGTCTGATTTTTTTGATTACGCAAGCGTGACATGAAGGATCGCTCTCTATGCACAATTCAGCTTTATCATAATCATTTTCAATTTTTTACAACATTGTGAATTATAAATAAAGGTGAATGTCTTAATAGCTTATTCTAACAATTAACATAACGAGAATTTATAATATGATAATGAATTACATTACTATTGCACGAAACGTGTCTGTTTTTTAAGTCTGTGTACACTGTGCCCTCTCAGGGATAGGATTTATTTAACTGGATGATATTTCAAGATGATTACTTACAATCAAACAATGATACAATTTACAATGATTAGCACTCAGTATCACTTGAAAATAGTATTATTTAATTTCAGCTGGGATGAAATAGAGTCTTAATACACAGAAAAGGAGGAAATACGCCTTTTAAATGTGAACCCCTGGATCTTTTTAAATATAATCATTTTTATATTTAAAAAATCTACGACAAATATTGTACTCTGTCTATCTAGCTGTCTGTGAAGTGTAGCTGTCTGTCTGTCTGTCTATCTTCTCTCTCTCTCTCTCTCTCTCTCTCTCTCTCTCTCTCTCTCTTTGAGGAACCAAATTAAACTAGAACTTTCGATAACTTTTACGTGCATCTTTGAGCAATTGTAGAATTTCAGTGTATTTGTTTCTTTAAAACACCTGATATATAGAAATATTTGTATATGGTGATACATAATGAAAATATTCTTGATACGTCTTTTTCCTTAAGAAACTTACATGTGTACCTGTGCCAGAGTCGTGTATATTTTTGCACAGACTCAAGTGAACTGTTTGCAGGAAAATCAATTTAACTTCGAGACATAAATCCTGAAGTCTATATCATTTCAAGTTTCTTGTTTTCCTTACATACCAATCACAAGTACCTAGATTAACATAGATATTTCTCCTTCAATCGGAAACAAGTCTATGTAATGCTTCACTGAAAAAAAACTATGATTCAGAAATGTATCCAAGAAAAACAAGATGGGTTTGTGAAACCTTTCTTTGGGTAAATGTACAACCAAATTTGACCTCTTGACCTTGACATTGGAGTTTGACCCACTTTTACAAAAATTATCACACTTAAACCTTGATCATAACTTTTGAACAGTTGGTGTAAGGGTTTTCATACTTCACACATGTATTTTAAAAATATATGTCATTGTGACAAGACCTTTCAGTATAGGTACCCCAGTATAAATATTTTAGACCTTTGATCTTGAGCTTAGAGTTTGATATACTTTTTTAATGACTTAATCTTGGCCATAACTATTAAACATTTAGAGGTAGGGCATTTCATATTATACATGTGAATGCCTTGTGACAAACCTTATTTTTGAACCAACAAGTTTGACTTTGACTTTTTGAGTTTGACATGCATTTGAGAAAACTCAACTCTCGCCATAAGTTTCCATACAGGGGCATCAGTGCTTCACAAACTCATCTTGTCTATATATGCAAAAGTTCGTGGAATTTTTTTAAAATTTTATCTTGATTTGATGAAAACAAGCAACAGGCATATTCATAATATAGAGTCATAATGTTACAATATTGGAAAATTTCATCAGTTTCCAATTACCTTACGGTCACACGAGTTTTTTTTTGAAAATGGATAGTTGTGAAACCCGGGGGAGACTTCGACGTTACGTCAAGTTAGATATGTCACGTCACGTTATAGAGCATCTCATCCCAATGTCCAATTCTAGCAAGTAATCCTACAAAATGCCGGTCTTTTCTATTTCTTTTCTCTAGAAAAGCCTGGATATCCTCTTGCACCAACTTTTCATTTTTTTAATATTTCAAAATACTACCCATCTTACCTTATGATGTTCCAATTTCAGAAGCGATGTCAAGAACAGTACAACGGCCAACAACGTCCATAAACGCTTGAAATTTGTCTAAGGGGATACACACTTAAAACAGAGCTTCCAAAAAGCGACCACACCTTTAATTAACATCCATGGAAGTTCTGTTTTTCTTAAATTTCTTATGCCACTGGGAAACCAGTAATTAAATGCATTTCCCCAAGCCTTTGTCAATAACATACTCGTTCAAGATAGAGTCATCCCGGGATTTTCACAAAACTTATGACTTGACCGAAATTTGACGTCGCCTTACATCTTGAAGATGAACAATAAATCATCAACTTATAAACAAAATATCCATTTCAGAGAGAGTAAAATCAGTAAAACTCTCACACAGAGGTTTATAAAAGATCAGGCAATTGTAATAATGACATAATTTTTGTTTTATTTTCCACATTGGGCAGTTTAATTCTCATTCCACGTATTTAGAATGAAAATGATAATGAAAGCGTTAGTGTCTCCCCCGCATTTCCAAACAACCGTTTCTATGGCAACTGCCATAGAGTTACTATCAAAGATATTCAAAATGTTTTTCAATTTAAAATATTCCTCAAGTGTCTATATTTTTATTTGTAATTTTCAATCAATTCCACTTTAATATAAATAAAATATGAAGAAATTCCACGAACTTTTGGATCAACCCTCGTATATGTAATTTATTTTTTTCTTTTTCTTTTTTTGTTATAAGTAATTGAATTTCCATATCAGATTAAAATTGTCGCACTTAGTTTGATACTGACAATATATTTTTTGTAAATTTTAGAAAAGGAAGTTTTTTTTTTCTTATATAAATATAAAATATTAATCGTGGGCGAAATATCCACTTTCAAGATACTATTTAATTACACTGTTTACACTACATGTCGTGTATACTGCATCCGTATGTATCTGGTACAGAACTGTACAATTATTTATATACATGTATCCACGCAAAGTAAATCTACGTGCGCCAGTGTTTTTTTTTTAATTGAATCAGGAAAGATATGGGATTTTGATTTTGATCTATTTCAGCCATTGTAAAAAAAGAAAAAAAGATTTGTTCAATTGTAAAACATAGAAAGGACATTTATCTAAGATTAGAATATCGTCTTTGAAAGCTTCGATTACATTTGATGCGATTAAAGCAATTTTCTTTTCGAAGAATTTCAAAAACCAATAGGTTCTAAATAATGGTCTAACACGACACGGACAAGTGCAATGTACTCGGCATATCCCATCCAGCAACTCGTTACTAGCCAGGCAGCCATTACTGCGTGTAGGGGGTCAACAGAAGGGGAGATAAATAGGGGTATTATTCAGAGAGATTCTTTACTGCTCAATTTACAATACCACGTGTCGAAAACATTCATGAGATGTTGCATGATACGGCAGAATTTTTTGATAAAAAAGTATGTCCCTTCATAGCAACACAAAATTCGTGTTCCAAAACTGTCAGTGCTTGGGATCTTAGCGACGAAAGGATAATTCTTTGTTTGGTTGTATTTTCTTTTTATTTAGAAATCTAAATTCTTTTTCTGTAAATCAGGGGATTGTCTGAATATCATGCACAAAGAATTTAGTCTTATTGTATGCTAATCATATCTGTTTTTGCTGTAAAAGTACATCATTATGCAAAAAGATGTGAAGAACTGGTAATATTAATGTGTTTGTGTGTAAATAGTAAATAAATATGCATGTATATTTGATATGATCAAATATTATATTTTATGGACAAAGAAAACACGCCGAAATAAAGATATATCAAGTATCAATCAATTCTAAAAGCCACCACCCAGAACCTAGCCCTTCAAAACATAAGTAAAAGTGTATAATATTTATGCTATTTTTATCTGTGCATATAGGGCTTAACTACGTTACTGGCTCGTATATGTATACATACATACTCGTAAGTAAATGTAGTACGTCGTGAAAAATGTGATGCAGTAGGGGAGATAACCCCATACCTATCTTGGGCAGCTCAAAAAACCTTAATTGTCTTTATTTTATTTATTTGTACTAAAGCGAATGGATAAGGTATTACCATCCTCACGTGTATAATTTTTTAGGTTCAAAGTTGAACAAAAATTAATACATATATTAGAATTGACTTATTATGATAACAAAAAAAATATATGTTTCCTTTTTTTCAAGAAGTAAAATAATACTAAACTAAAGTGAATTTCAGCGTTACATTATAAATTAATCAATTTTAATGAATATAACTATAAAAATTAGGTAAAATCTGGTTAAAATACATAATTCTGATGCTAAAAGTTCCAAAGTAATTGCGACTTTTAAAAGTACTAGAATTGTATCAGGGAAAGCGTGTTACATGTAATTAAAATTCATAATAAAGAAAATCCCTTATTACAAAAAGAGCTATTGCCCTTGACAACATTGTTACGATTGAATAATTAATAATTTATAGAGAAAAAATAATTTTTAAATATATTTTTTTTTCAAATTTACTTAACAATTGTTTTCATTACACCTATTGAATAGCAAGATTTATAATGAGCATGAATTTACAG